GGGTTGGCGCGCTCGGCACACGCCTGGCCCGGGCAGGCGGCGTCGCGCCTGCTCACCGCCCGACACCCATGCTGCAGGGGCTCTGCACTGCTCACCGGAAGGCGCGCAGCTCCAGGACGGTGATGGGCTGGCGCGGCCGCCACCTCAGCCGGGCATCCAGGAAGCGCGGCGCCCAGATGTGGAAGTCGGCCAGCAGCTGCAGGACGGCGGGGTCCGCGGTGGTCCAGGCCCCCGTCAGCACCGCACCCGTGGCCAGCTCCAGGTGGCGGGCGCTGCGAGGGTCGTATGCCAGGGCCTGCGCTTGGTCGAGGGGCGGGGGCTGCGGGGAAGGGGGAGGGAGCCGGAGGCCGCAGCCACCGGGGGAGGTGTCCGTCACCGCCGCCGCCACAGGCCCCCCCAAGGCACGGCCACCCTGAGTTGCTGTCCAGGGGACATGCCCTTCTGCCCCGTCCGCCACGTGCCTCACCGCTCTGTAGCGCTCCTTGGCGTGGGGCCGGAGGAGGTCGTCCTCGGTGTGGAAGGCGGTGGGGAACAGCAGGAAGGAGCTGTCTGCCGGACGGAACACGGGTTCGCGCAGTCCACCCTTGCGGAGCAGGATCTGAGTTGGTTTGACGGGGAGTGGGTTTAGACCCTGACTCTGTCTGAACTGAGAAAAGCGATGCGTCCTCCACTGGGGCACCAGGCGCACCCTACCGTCTGGGTGCCGTCCCTGAGGGCCTCGACGACCGGCGCCCATTCCTTGAGGCAAGTGCGAGACCCTGTGACTGCCCTGCAATAGATTTCGTGCCGCTGGCTGTGAGGGCTCCGCTGAAGCTGGATGATGGAGGGGCGAGGCAAGGCGGGGCTTGCTCGTGGAAGGGTGGCACTGAGATGGGGAGAGGGCGCATGCATGCCGTCAGCGAACGGAATCCGGCCTGTGACTACTGCATAGGAAGGTTTTTCGCGTGAAGGTTGGGTCTGCGGCGTCGTCCTGCACCGCGATCAGCTGGGACGTTTACACTTCTTCACCGGGGTTTCCGGCACTCCGCAACGGAGAGAACGGGCCGAGGCTTAACGTCTCGTCTACGAAGGCACCGGATCTGCAGAGCAACTATACTCCAGGCAACAGTGGGAGCAAGGTGCGGACTCTGCCTCTTCTGTCGAATTCGGCCCCGTGATCTTTCCCCAGATGGCTCAGGCCCCACCCCAGCACATGACACAGTATCGACCCTTCCAGAGTCCGACTAGCCGTCAACGCAGCAAGCGATCCGTTGAAGGAAGAAGAATCATACTGTAAGAAGCGGGATCCGGTGTCTTGCGCGAAGACCGGTGTGGGCAAGTGACCCACCACCATGGAGCATATGTCTGCGCCTCAGCACAAGGGATTCTCGTACCAGAAGCGGAGGGTGGGCCGAGGTGGCGTACGAGGCTCTCTGCCCTGGATGTTCTCTCAGAACCGGAATGCAGCCCCAACCTGGTCCGTCAATAACCAGTCTTTGGAATGGCGAAGGTAAGGTGCTGCAGCAGGGCACTGGAGGCATGCATGTACACCTAGCCAGGGTAGAGGCCTGCGGCCCCAGGGTCCACTGTACACGAGACGCAACGTCTCGTTGCAATTCTTCCCAACACGCACGAGTCAAGATGGTAAGAGAGGTGGCTTGATGGAAACTTCAAGAAGTGAGTTGCTAATTATGTTCTATTGCTTTTGAAAACTCGATGTCCTTGCAACTGTCAAACACACTTGCAAGCTCTCGAATGAGTTGCCAACCTAAGGCTGCCAGTCAAGGACGAAGGGTGACCTTCAAGGGCCATTAAGCATGTCCTTCCACTCCATGTACACATTCATATGTCTTCGTAATGATATCTGAGACGTCGGTGTGACCTTGGGTGGGAACAAAGGGCATGTCGGGAATGTGCGAGAATATCGAGTTACTTCAGCAGTTTAGGGTTTATGTTTGCCATCAGGACACCAAGCTGTTAACACCTCAAACAAAAGCTCCTTTACAGACCAGGTTATAGTGCAGTCTGGAGCTGAGTGATGACGGTCGGCCTCTCAGACTGCGTCAGCCTTGCGTCCTGTAGTGCACGGACTGGGGCGAGCTCTTCTCGACATCCCATGCCCTTTCAGCCAGCTTACAAGTAATCTACCGATATCGATGTGTCATACACCAGCTTCCAATGCAGTAACATGCTCAGATTCTTGCATTCTAGGTCGCAATCAACCCTCAGATGAACCCGCAGCACCAGTTGGTTCATCCCATGCACTCCCCTCCCGGATTGCGTTGTTGATACCCCTTGTCATGCAACGTAAGACATGCCGCAGGTACCAAGGTTCGACATTCACCAGTCCCTCCCCCGAGCCCACTACAAGCAATTGTTAGCATTTTAATGCCGTCTTGCGACAGTATGAGGACCTCTTGGTTTTGGGGTACAATCCTTCTCCTTGCCGGCGCCGTGTCTGTACATGGCATCCAGTACAACCTCGATCATAGGTACGCCGCTTTGATGGGGGGGTTGTAGGGCGTGCGTTATATTTGTAATGATTCGGCCCCCCTGCGAGGCCTGGGGAGATGCGCCCTCCTCCCGAATTTGGAGATTTGGAACATTCTCCCGCACATGGTAGCCGCCGACGACATACTCTGAGAGCCTTTTTTGCACGTTTCATTCCTGCAGGAAACTTCTTGGTTCCGCTTCGGTGTCCGGTAGCTCAGATGGCATGGTCACTGGCATCGTATTGTCCGAGGCGCGTGACTACGCATCCTCCGGCTCGGTCTCGTCGTCGGCCTCGGGAGTCGGCGCTGCATCCAGCGCCAGCATGACCGCATCCTCCAGCAAGACTGGATCCACGGTGACCGGCGCAGCCAGTGGAAAGGTGCGTGGACAATGGACAAGATTCAGATCACTGATGCACGAGCCGTCAAATATATAGGGTCAACTGGAGTGCCGAGTAGCAGGTGCTCTGCTTGGAGTCCCGTGGAATGAGAGGACGATGATTGTTGCACAGCGCTCCTTCGACTCATCGTCCGTCAGTCTTTCATGCCTGTGTAGGGGAGCGCTGCCGGGAACACTCCAGCACGTGCTACGGCAAGCCTTACGGGAACCACGACTGGGCCCCAGGGCATAGCCACTTCAGCCTGGACCGCCGAGGCCACCAGTGCGTCGCCTGGGGAGATCGCGGCCGGTGCCCAGGGATCCTCGACCCAGACATCTGCGGGAGGGGTGGTGAGTCGAGGGTCTTTGATTGGGATTAGGAGGGAGATATCTGATACCAAGGAGTGAGTTAATTTAATGTGGTAATTTCCAATATGTCGCAGGTGTCGGGAGCCATCAGTTCTACGGCACCTGGCTCCGCCAACTCTGAAGCAGGATTTGCCTGTGGGACTGGAGTCATTGAGCTGACAGGCTCTGCAGGAAGCGTCGTGGGAACGACGGCTCCTCCGAGGCTGTCTCCCAGCCCCAGCCCATCTCCCAGCCCCAGCCCCTCCCCCAGCCCAAGCCCGTCTCCCAGCCCATCTCCCAGCCCCAGCCCATCTCCCAGCCCCAGCCCCTCCCCCAGCCCAAGCCCATCCCCGTCGTCTGTGGTCCTGTCCCAGAAATCTGCAGATGCCTGCGAGGGAGGTGTCACTGTGGACAGCAATGGCTACTGGACCTACACAAACAGCAAGAAGTCCATCCGTGAGGTCAAGGTGATCAAGTATGATCCCAACCCAAACAATTACAACCAGGAGATCCTGTGCGGCGTCAACTACGCGCAGCAGAAGGGCCTGTGCACGTCTGGGTCATGGAAGATCCCCGTCCAGTATGGCTACAAGGGCTGCATGATGGTCCAGATCGACTACAACGGCGGCTGCAACTCAAAGGACCCCGTCTTCTGCTTCAAATGAGCAACAAAAGGCAAGCTGAATACCCAATTCCATAGGCCGTCCTCCACAAGGAAGCCAATATGCACATGGATATATACACATTAGCACTTGCTGCCCATATCAAGCCTGCATACATAAATATTTACATGTTGTCTTCCTAGCATCTGCCAAGCTCTGGAAATGATATTCCCTTGCAATTACTGGTCTACAATTTGCTATTTTCTTTTCCTATTCCCTCCTGGAAGAGTGCAACACTTGCCCAACCTTACTGACGGGGCCTTGAACATTGCATCAATAAGTGTGTAAATTTTGAGTGCAACCCAGCAGATAGGATGGGCCAAAGCTGGCGGCTGCAACATAGACTATCAGGTCAGTTTGAAGGGCAAGGTGCTTGCTCTTCCACGGCGTGTCTCAGCTGTCACACAGAGCGCACCATGGGTCGAGACTTAACCTCTTTCGGGTATGGTGATGCAAAGAGTGGCCAAACTCCTGATGCACAGCTCTACATTATGCCTCTCAGGGTCATCAGCCCTTACAACTCGTCACCCTTGGTAAGAGTCATCACCAAGGGGAGCGTTGCCCATCGCACGAAATAGGTATCACCCAAGCGCAAAATGCGTGGCTTCTGGCAACTCTGATGTCAGGTCATTGCACCTTATTTCCTTCACCAGGTTTACCGAAATTGCGGGTTTCGAGGAAAACGGCGCGAAATTTTCGGGAAAATAACATTTTCGAAATTCGACTCCGAAGTTTCGTGCTGATATGGCAGTGGCCCACGGGGCTGGGCCCGCCCAGCGCACAGTGAGGATGGTTTGGGCGGGCTAAGTCAGTGTGTACACAAGCACTCATGTAATCTGAAACCAACCCCAAAGGTTGGCAAGCAATGTGCAAGTACCATGAAGACATTTCAGAAGCTTGCCGCAGAGGCATTCGAACCCGTGAATGAGGAGGTTTGCAGTAGCTGCAACAAAGTTGAGTGCCGTTACTACAGGCGAGGAATTGCCGCAAATATTACGAGGCAAAAGCAACACTTCTTGGGTGGAGCTAATGTTAAGACTTGCAGCAAGACTCCGGAAGCGCTCTTGGTGGCAGTCAAGCGTGTCGAGCAGCTCAACACTCCATGCAAGCGCAGTCACACATCCATGCCCTCGAGAAGTTCAGTGGCCGACAGTTCAGAACCTCATAGGAACCCTGATCGGCAGACCAGAATTACAGACTTCATGGGGAGCCGAAGTGCAGCACAGGCCAGGCGGTCAATCGCACAGTTTTCTATCGTCAGGGTGTGCCCTTTTATCAAGGTAACGTGCCAATCTGAGCCCATTGCGAGGGATGCAAACAATTGAAGTCCACATTGACACAATCCACCTTTCTGTCTGCAGGTGGAGACCCCTGAGTTTGTCCAGATGGTCAATCATCTTGTTTGCACTGGGGGCCCCTTCAAGATTCCCAAGCAGGCAGATCTGCGTGAAGAGATGCTGGCTGACGAGGTCCAGTTGATCAATGACAGCCTGATCCCCACCCTCACCACTGAGAAAGAAGAGGTGAAGTGCCATCCATGCGGACTTGATGACTACATTTCTGCTCGGGAGTCTTTCAGAGGTATGTTTCCCTCCTTACAAACTTGCACAGTAAAAACTGTGCAGGGCATCGCCCTTGTGATGGATGGTTGGCAGGACCAAGCCAAGAAGCCCTTATTGAACTTCCTGGCTGTTACAAGCAAGGGAGGGCGCTTCATCAAGAGTGTGGACACTGCTGGCAAATGCAAAACTGCAGATTGCCTTGTGGAGCAATTGGAAGCTGTCATCAAGGAGATTGGGGTCGAGAATGTGCAACTAACCCCCCCCCCCCCTTTCCCCCCCTCCCATCTACATTCACAGTACCTGCAAGAATACCAGGAGCAGTACATGTACAACGAGGTTGCTGCCGTGCCAACTCCCATGGAGGCATGAATGTGGGGAGCATGCAGCACATGCAAACCGACCGACACGACAATCTACAATCATGAGGAGTAGCTCAACGACAGCAATGAAGCGTTGGGCAATCAGAGTATACGGTCCACAGGGAGCAGAGCATGCTGCAGTTCATTTATAGGTTGGGGACCCGTTGAAAAGCAGGAAAAAACAGTGGCACCTTGCAATGCTGGGAATGCGTGGGTGAGACTTTGCAGAGCATGGCGATTTTGACCGAGACAGTCCTTCCCAAGAATAAACCTCTGCGTTGCTCAGTATGTGGCTGCCAGTTTGGGGTCGTCCTTGGCAGCCACCTCGTGCTGACGGTAGACTGCATAGCAGAGGTGCGTGGCATGCAGCCAGGCATGCAGGTCCGCCAGGCGGGCAAAGGCCGAGGTGTCCCTCTGCCAGGTTGCGACAGCAGCCTGCTCCTTGGCGACGCGGGTGGCCAGCACCTCGGGGTCAAACAGGCCCTCGTCGCTGGCCTCGTGGTAGGACAGCGCAAAGGGGCCGCCGAGAAGGGACCTGGTCGCCAGGCCGTAGGTCGTGTCAAATATGGCACGCGCTCGCGGCATGTGGAATGCGCTGGTGATCACAGCCAGGCGTCTGTGGCGGCAGGGGTGGAAAGGGCGCCATATGCCGCAAGGTGCAAAGTGAGCCTGGGGCCTGTGAGCTCGTTCGAGCGCTTGATGAAGAAGAACATCCTCCGGCACCTTGATGCTGGGGCAGAGCAGGCAGAATCTGCAACCATGGGATCATACAGAAACAAGACAGCCGATCACATGTGCTGGCCGATTCTGCGGTGTGAGATATCAATGCACGCACCTCCATCTGGCAGGAATGGCATGAATGGTCAGGCTGAAGTACCCGTTGCCGACCGTGTCGTAGCTCTGTCAGTCGTGGGAGTTGGGTGGGGCTGTCTCTATTACCATTGAGGGAGCCGGGCTCTGCTTGTATATTAGAATCCGCAACCTGCATGTACTCAGTGCTCAGCCACAAACAACTCTGCCTACACACCCTTCCCTGCTATACATCACTGACTCACGCTGCATTCCTTAAGGAGGCTGTTGGCAGGCAGACCCAGGCCCAGCATCTCGTCTGCATAAGCCGTCGCTTCATGAACTACTGCACCCTTCTTGGTCACTACCGCCGGTTTGTGTGGCGTGCCGGCACCCAGGAGCAGCACGGGTGGATAATGATCACGGACATGCCGTCTCTGATCCTTCCAGATGTCTGCTGCCAGCTGAAGGCGCCGAGTAGCCCAGGGAGGTACCTTGCCATCCTCGTGTAGGCCCCCTCCTAGCACGAGTATGGCATCCAAAGGCCCTGCATCTCCATTATTTGGTGTACTTAGACTACAAACCTTCGTGGCATGCCTCAGATGCCATGCTACACGATTCTGGGTGCCGTACCGTCCCAGAAGCTGTAAGGGCTTGGCGCTGGTTCTCGCTAAAAGAGGGTCTGCTCGCAGGACCAGCATATCTGCATGTAGTCCAGGCTGCGCGACCTTCAAAATTCTTAGTGTGTGCGAGACAGATCGGCCAGATCATGAGACATGTGAAGATGCAGTTCGCACAGGCGTGCGACAAATGTTCTGTCTCTCCCTCGACATGCTGCGGATGCTGGCCCCACCACTTGAACTGCCCTCGGGCAGCTGGGATCCAGGTTCGGCATCCTCGAGATCAACCCATGGTGCAGGGACTCACGAATTCCCAGGCCCTTCATACCCAAAAATCCGGCATCTGTGAGGCAGCACTCGCATGTTGAGGGCCATTGAAGTTGCCAACCTCGAGGACTCACACCCACCGGGAGTCCGACACGACCAGGACGTGCATTAGGAGGTTCGCACGGCTCAGCGGAGAGGCACAACACCATCCAGAATGGAATCCGAGGAGACCAAGAGCCTCGAAGATCCCCGCCCCGTTCTCCTCGTCACGACGGTGGACATTGGGGACGGTGTGACAGGCAGGGTCGAGGTCCGGCTCGGTGACGACCCCGAGGACGCAGCTCGAGCTTTCTGCGCCACCAACGGCCTCCCCGAGTCCGTTGTGCTGCCATTGACTGCCCATCTACAGTCGAACCTGGATCTGGGCCCGCCCAGCGAGCAGGTTTGTGGAGTGTTTGAACTCTGGCACCGCATAAGGCTGCCACAAGCTTGGAGGGTTCGGGAGCGGGGGCGGCATTACGTCGACTTGGATGCTTGTTTGAGCAGAAAATTAAGATGAATCCTGCCTGGACATCCCACAGGATGCCGCGACAGGGAGCGTCGCCCCCGCCCAGGCCATCTCCTGGGCGGACGGGGACGTGCCGGCGCAGACCCCGCGCGACCCCCTGTCCCAGCAGGATCTGCACTGGGCCCGCCCTCCCGGGCAGGGCTCGCCCCCCCCGCACCCCGACGCCGGCGCCTCGCGGGGCACCGGCGGGGTTACCCCGGCGTGGGGCCCCGGCAGCAGCGCGCCGCCGCAGGGAACCACCTCCTGCGTGCATGAGCGGCTGTACCATGAGCACTTCCGGCAGCAGCTGAAGCTGGAGGAGGCGAGGCGGCTGCGGGACCTGGAGCTCCAGCTGCGCATGGCCCAGGTGCACCTCGACCCCGTGAGCCAGAGCCTGTCGGCCGCACGCACGCCTGACGGCTACACCAACTACGGCGAGAGGCTGTACGTGGAGGGCCGCCTTGAGGCGCTGAAGAGGGAGCAGGCGGTGCGTTGCTCGGGGGCTACCGTTGGGAGGGGCCCGTTTTAGGCTGGGCGAACTTGGAAAGGGGACCATGCAATGAATGAATGCATTTGCGCGTGAGCTTGCCCCTTTCGAAGTGCCACGAATACGATCCGTCCTTCATCAGTACTCACGCCACCTGGCTGTCACCTCAACACCTCAGGCTGCGCGGCGGCGCGAGGCGGAGGAGGCCGCGCAGCTGGAGTGCTGCACGTTTGTCCCCGAAATGTCCCTCACCGCGGCGGCGAAGCGAGATCGTGAGGCGCGCATGGGCTCCCAGGGCCAGAGGTCCCATGGTCCGACCCTGTCCTCCAAGTTCGAGGTGAGGCACTGAGCAGGAGGCCATTAGAGTTGTGTATTGGTACATGGATGCTGCTGCAGGCACCATGGTGATGGTTCAGAGGATGTGGGGTAAGGACACCTAATCGCCCTGCATCAAGGGAGTGCTCACGTACTGGCCATCCCCTCGAGCCACAATCACAAATGGCACCAAGCAGTCGCGCATGGCCGAGCTGAGGCGCGCCAAGGCCGCCTCGGAGGTCAAGGAGTGCACCTTTGCGCCGACCCTGAACAGGAGGTCTCAAAACCTGACCTCCCATAGATCCTCGGCACTCAAGGTGGGTGGGGACTGGCGGTGCTGGGTGAATTCGAGAGCTTGATAGGCTGGACTCCTCGCTGCGTTCCCTGAGACTCATGCTCCATTCTTTCCACCCACCCCGGCACAGGAGGCGGGGGTGCAGTACTACGACAGGCTGTACCTGGAGGCGGAGCGCCGGCGGCACAAGCTGGAGGCCGCGGCCTTAGAGCTTCCCGCCCAAGTCACCTTTGCTCCCAAGGTCCATTGAGTTTGGGGAAGGAAGGAAGGTGGCATGGTCTACCGGTCTTGAGAGGTCGGATTCTTGTACCAAGGTGTGCCAGCTCGCCAGCGCCTAGTCCTGAGCTCAGCATTCTATACCCACACCTCCCCTTGTCCCTTCCTCCACGCCTATAATCCCCCCCCAACAAAATCATGCGTCATCCAGATCCTGAGGAGCAGCGTCGTGCTGCGCCGGCTGAACTCGGGGCGTGCGGACGCCGAACTGGCGGCCACCTGCCTGGGCCGGCCGCCGCGCGTGGAGGCCCGCCTGCTGGAGCGCGGCGAGCGCTACGCCGCGCGCGCCGAGGCCTCCCGCGCCGCGGCGCGCTCGGCCCTGGACCCCGCCACGGGGCGCCGGCTGTTCGTGCCGGAGACGTGCCGCTCGCCGCGCGGCGGCCTGGGCGGCGTGCGCGGCGGCAGCATCGGGGAGCACCTCTACGGCGTCGCGGCGCAGCATGCAAAGCGCGCCGCGGCCCAGGCCGAGGCAGAGCGCCGCCGCGCCGAGCGCGACGCCGCCAGCACCTTTGTGAACGCCTCCTCCCAAGTGCGTGTGTCACTGTTGGGGTGTCCAATGGGGGGACGAAGAGTGCTGGGAATGTGGGAAGGGGGGGAACAGCATGGGTGGATTCGATGGTGTGCCGACCCAGGGAATCCCCAGGCACCATCGTCGGAGGGTCCCAGCAGGTCACGCTGCGTGGCTTGCTGGTGCGAGGGAGCGTGGACCGAACCCTGTCATCCACATGACCACCTCCATCCAACCCCTTTCCTCCTCCTCCAACCCCCTTCCCCCCTCCTCCAACCCCCTTCCCCCTCGCAGCGCATGGTGGAGGCGCTGAAGCGGGAACGATTCGGGTCCATCTTCGCCTACCTGGCGGGGGATGACGCGGCGGACGCTGACCTGGACCTCTGCGCCGTCGTGCAGGTGGCGCAGTGGGTCGTCTTTGTTTGGTGGGGGGTGGGGCGGCGCGGAACGGTTGGGCTGGTCCGGTGGGACAGGGATCGGGGCGTGTGCTCTGTGAGGCATGGAGACCTGGGGGGCGCCGGTGGCTGGGTTGCACACCCGGCTCAGATGGGCACCCGAGACGACACATGCCATCACTGGGGAACCAGAGATCTTATTGAATTCCGCGCACTTCCAATGCAACACCCTCTTTCTCTTGCTAGGATGAGGAGTTCATGGACACCATCGACCCAGAGGTGAGGGCCGACGTCGAGTACGCGGCCCGGCTCCTCCAGACAGCCGCCCAGAGCGACGGGTGAATGGGCTGTGATAGCATGTGGGGGTAGGGATGGTGGCGGGCAGCAGCACAGCCAGTGTTGGCAGGCGAGGGAGCGGCTCTGTGAGGACACATGGCGGCACATGGCACGGTGATCTCCCATCCTCCCTGATCACCAGCAATGGGAGCTCCTTGCAACCCTAGCCCCCTCTGAACCTGCAGGCCGGCGGATGATCAGGACACGGCGAGCCAAGGTGATGGGCAGCACCCGCTGGCCGCCAGCCCCGCCAGCCCCGACAGGGAGCTGCAGACCCCGAACGCCGCACCGCAGCGACGGTCCGCGCTTGGCCCCGTCTCCCTGGAGCTTTTCTGCGTGCTGATGGAGGAAGTGCTGGCGCAGACCAAGGGTGAGCCACGCCGGGCGGCGAGGGGTTGTGTGAGGATGGGGGGGTGGGATGTCCGGCCCGGACCAGCAGCATGAGTGCAGGTCTGCAGCCACCAGCACACCGACATTGGCGGACCCCCCGCATGCCCAGACTCTGACGGTCCATGATCCCCCAAGAGTGCCTGGAGACATAGAAGCACACTCTAAACCCCCACCCTACTCCTTGGTGCCCCAGGCATCGCGCGCACCTACCTGCTGCCCCTGGCACCCAGCCGCAAGAAGTTTGAGGAGCCCACCTTCCAGCCCCAGATCGATGCACGCTCCCAGGTGGGTCATGGGTCGGAGGGTTCTGAGGTGGGAGGCAAGGTGAAACGGCGCAGTCCAGCCGCTGACCGGACGCTGGACGCTGGAGCGAGCGGTGGGGCCGTGCTGTGGGGCAGGCTCCTGTAGCACCGCACCCTCCCCTCCACCATGTGCTCCCACCGACCAACGCCGCGGCGTGCGAAACCCCACCTCTGCGACAGGCACTGGCCACGCGGAGGAGGAGCGGCGCCCCGCCCGCCCACGAGAAGCTGTACGCCACCGCCGGGCTGATCCAGCGCAAGCTGGAAAGCAAGCGCGCCGCCGCGGAGGCGGCGCGCCTGAAGGTGGGGAGTTTTGGGGTGAGAGGGGAGGTGCTGCCGCTGTGCCAGCCTGCATTCTCTCAATGCTTCCTTGGCAGCCAGAGGTCCAGACATTTGATGAAGTTCCTTACCTGACTCCCCATTTCCCTTCCCGTCCTGTCCCACCCCCCAGGAGTGCTCCTTCCAACCCACCATGATCGCGCGAAAGGGCTCTGTAAACTCCAAGTCCGGCACAGCCCGTTCCCCCGGCGCAGCAAAGAAGGTGGGCGGTGCCTGTGCTGGGCATGTGCTCTGCGGGCTTGGGTTGGGGCACAGGATCCAGAGCTGCGGCAGCCCAGCGCGTACGACACCCATCGCCAAACTCTGCAGCCCGATGAGTTGGCTGATGCGCTGGAGGTGGAGATCAAGAGGGCCCTGGTCCGGCTCAGCATGAGTGCCGGGGTGGACGGCGAGAAGGAGGGGGAGCTGGCGCCCCTGGACACCATCCGAGCTGCACGGGCCAGCCTGGACCCTTCTGCCCTGTTTGGACCACCCTCCGTCCAGCCTGGGCGAGCTGCCCCGGACCTCAAGTGGTGCGTGTCATGAGGCTGGGGGAAGAAGGAGTGTGCTCCATGAGGGCGACGAGCGCCGGGCCGACGCCCCGACTTACATGCCAAATGCTCCTGGAACCCCACCACATTCCCCCCCATCTTCCCCTCCGCACTCAGGCTGGAGACCGAGAGCGAGACCCTTGTGATGGACCTGGCTGGCACCGACGACGTCGCCGCCCAGGATCAGGGCAGTATCATTGTCCAGGGCCAGAGCTTGCTCAGCCTTGCGGCTGGCCCCGTGCCCTCCCACCTCTGACAGTGCCTGGCCCCTGGTCGCATGACCCTGCCCCCATGCGTGCCTTACATCATGACGACAGCAGGGAGGGCTCATGGATTACCCGACGCGTCCCCCTCGGCCCCTCTGCATGCCTTCCCAAATTGTGACCCCAAACGAACGCCGAGAACCGGGTACCATCAAATCCTCAGTCAGACTCGGGCTTGTTGAAGCGCTCGCTCATCACCTCAAACAGCTGCTTGCCGTTGAAGAGGACGGGGAAGAAGTGGATCTGTCCCTCTGGACGCGTCTGGTCTTCCTTGAAGTAAACCAGGATGGGGAAGGACGGAAACCAAAACTCCCTGGAGAGGGAGGGATCAAACCATTGAGAGAAAGACGGGTTGGGGGTCCTGGTCATTGATGGACGCTCTTGACAGATAAAAGGCCTGCACATCATCTCTCACCAGTTGATGATGCTGTCGTAGCTCCAGCGGTTACGTCCACCCACAAACGCATTCTCTGATTCTTCCTCGTCCTTCCCGGTGAGCACCTGGAGATGGGCAGGCAAGAGGTGGTAGATTAAGCATTGCACAAGGAAGCATGACGTGTATCAAGATGATCACGAACCATCTTTGCCCTCTCAAGCAACCACACACCTCCAGGGCGTCTTCGTCAAAGACAAACTTGACGCGAGAGGCTTGCACGGCCAGAAAGGCACCCAGGAGGCCCAAACCTGCCGCCAGAGCCGTGTTGGATGTCGTGACCTGGGTCAACCCCGCTCCACCTGGGTATGAAGAAGAAAATGCTGGAGGAATATCATGGGAAGCGGCATGTTGACATTGAGTGTGCACGTTTCCCAACTGAGAAACACCCGTCGCCCCCACCCCATGTCCTCGCCTAGGAGTACAGCAGGAATGGCGTAGCTCGTCTCGGGGATGACCGTCTCGTACTTGGGCTTCGTGGCTGTCTTGGACCCTAGCTTCAGGAATGAGAATAACTGGGAGGGATACGATGGGGACGCGGTGTGATGGGGACGCGGTGTGATGGATTCGGGTGCAGGGCATGGTGCAGCCCACCCTTGTGCCATGGGCCTGCCCACCCGTCATATCGCCATGCATGCATCGTATACATGCAAGCTACATGCACTGGTCGTATTGCGCACCGCGGTGGTCTGCACGTTCCTCTGTCTGGGGCGTGGTGTGACTGCGGTGGGGAGACTGAACCCTCCATGCACCAGGCGTGGCTGCAAGCTCGAGAGCGCCATGCAGCTCTGTATCTTCGTCAAGAATCTCCCAAGAATTCAGATGGAAGAAGTAGAGGGTATGCTGACGGCTTGATCGGTTGGAGGGCGGCTTGATGCAAAATCGTGGTGCCTTGAGTGAGAGGCCAGCAAGCATGCGAGCCCCCAGGAAGGGGGGGCGTCCGGGCTCCCATTCCGGTGATCGAAAACCTAATGCTCGTCACGCTGTGTGCTTGATGGTAGCAAGGATGCGTGAGCATAACTCTTCCGTCGGGACACTAACTATTACATCCGATTGCTTGGCATCCATCTTTGCAGGGAGGTCAGGCTTTGGCGTGCCGGTGGACACCCTTGCAGTGCAGTCGGGCCATGAAGCTGGACTACAATATTCCTTCCGCATTCGTGCACAGTTGATCAGCACTATCGCTCATTCATGCTTTGATTATGTTGGACCCCGTGGAGTTCAAGCTCGGCGCCCAGGAGCTCGCACGGGCTTGGGCAGAGGTCTGCCCAGGCGGCCCCCTGTGGGAATGGGTCCCACAAATGACTGCTTTTGCATCCAGCAAGGTGGGCCAGGGTGCATCCCTGGTAGGCATACAGGAAATCTCGACTATAGTAAACGCAGTGCATGCAGCAAACGCCTTGCCATCCCCATCTTCATGACTCACAGGGCGGCGGCTACCTGCAGCTGGCCCGTGTTCCTGTGCGAGGAGAGGGCGGCTCGGTGGCCTTCTTCACCTACCACATCCTGTACAGTCCTTCTTACCGGGTTCCTGTCCTGCACTTCACCGCGCATGATTCAGGTGCCGGGGGGTGATGAAGGTGCTAGCTTGGCATCGATCCTGCCATGGGGCACCTACCTGCATGCAGCAGCCGAGTCGCAATGTCCACGCTGCACCCTACAGCTTCACCTGAGACCTGGATCGCCCATTCCAGACCCCTCTCCTCTGCACGACAGCTGGCGCCACCATCCACGGCCTAGACATCCTGCCCCACCTCCCGGGCCCCGCCGACGGGGATGCCTCCCCGCTAGACTCGGTCCTGAGCCAGGAGGACCACCCCTTTCTGGACGAGCCCTTCTTCCAGGTGCACCCCTGCGCCAGCCAGGACACCCTGGCCCTGATGCTGCGCGGTGCACGGGGTATCCCGCAGGGCACCTCACAGCTCCTGCGCTACATGATTGCCTGGCTGAGCGTGGCTGCCCAGCCCGTCGGCCTGGCCGTGCCCCTCTCCCTGCACCTACAAACTCAGCCAGGGCCTTAAGTGCCATTCTTTCTTTTTTCAAGTGCACACGGCTAACAACGGTCATGGCCGCACAGGATTCCAGGCCAGCACCTGGGGTCTGAGGCCCCCCTTCGCCGTCCAGCATCCAGTGCCCCTCAGGATATGAGGGCGAGCCAGCCGAGGGTGGTGTAGAGGAGGACCAGGGGGAAGACGGCCAGCGCGCGGCGGTTGGCGGGCACGGCGCCGCCGATGAAGGGGACGCTGGCCCAGGCGCACCAGGCGATGCCCAGGGGCACGATGATCCAGCGCGCGAGGAGGGAGGTGACGCCCATGCACACCAGGGCGACGACGGTGAGGGGGAAGATGCAGTAGCCCAGGAGGCAGAGGGACTGGAAGAAGCCGATGGTGCCCCCCAGCAGCACCGCGTTCAGTGTCAGCACGATGGCGCCCACCGACACCAGGGCGAAGACGAGCTGGGAGGAGGAGTGATGGGTGGGAGGTTGGGGGTTGGAGGGGTCAGGGTGGGGAACTTGCTCCAACATAGGCGATAGGGTCCCAAATGATGCTTCCCATCAATAATAGGCGCGAGGAGTTGCCACAATAATGCCTCCATGGGCACCACCGCAGAGACAAACCCCCCTTCCTCTTGCAAGGCCCCGCACCGAAAAGGTGGCCGACATGTCTTTATTAGGTCCGACCGCCAGGGCAATGGCTAGTGCGATTGTGAATACCTGCATGGGACGAGAGTTTCGTGGATGTTTGAGCGACTGGTGGACCCCATCAGCAGGGTGATTGGGGTGTCAAGGGTCCAAAGACTCCCAGTGCATTCCTGATACTTCACCACCTCAGCCCATTCATTCCGTAGCTCGCACCATGGGACCCCACAGGTCCCAGTTGCGCAGGGCCGCAGTCTGCTGGCTCCGATCCTTGAAGGGGAAGACCACCATGACCAGGTTCTTATAGATGCGTTTGAGGTCGCGCTTGATGGTGTCCCCGATGGGCTCGTCCAGGGTGTTGCTGGTGGGTCCATACCCGACGGGCGAGGCGGAAGCTCCCGGGCTGGAGGGGGCTTGATACCCGGATCCTGGAGCCGATGTGGATGCAGTGGCCACAGGAGGCTCCGCGGCGAACAGCTGCCATGGGGAAGAGAGGGGACTAACGGGAATTTCCCACTGCGGCCCTGCTCACAGCGCCCTTCAGTCAACAGGGAGCGACAGCGGCCAGGCCGGCGAGTCTCGCACCTGTTCTTCATCCCCTCTCGGATTTTGGCTCCCAAATGCCGCGGAATTGGAGGGAAGGAAGGACATGTGGCCCCCCACCAGGCAGCGGGTTCAAGTGATCTCAGGTGCTGAGGGGACTCGCGAGGTGAGTGAGAGTTTTTACGGCGCTGACGGAGATTGCCTGGATTTGCGGTGTTTGACTAGTATGCTGGTTTGTTGGATGGGCTCCCATCAGCGAAATCTTGCCGTAGACCACCGGCCCGGAACGCACCTCGCGCTTTCAGAAGCTAGCTGATTAATTCCTTGGAGAATCGGGCGGGTGCACGCCTTACACCATGGGCAGGGCACACAACGCTTTCAGGCCTTGTGGTGCAAAACCCTGATTGCATGCATCCTTCAAGCCATTCACTGTGTCTGAGGGAGGAGGACGCCGTAGCCCTCGGACCTGCAGGTGGTTAAGGGCCGCGTAAAGGAGCTTTTAGTGCTGAGAGATCAAGTTGTGGCAGCAGACTGGCAGGAGTTCGTTGGTTCCCGAGCCCAACTCCCCGCGACCGTCTTTGCCCATGCACGCTGACTCACTTCCTGCGGTAAACTATCTTGAGCATGCGGTCCGCAGAGTCCTGGAAAACGTAAAAGTCGTGGCCCACTGCGATTGGTGTGGGGGTGAAGACTTTGACTCCTGTTGATTCCTGCCATGCAGCACGGCACATGCTAGTGCGAGCTGGCGGCGCAGACCTCCACCAAACCCAAAGAAACCCTGCTCGCCTTGCTCCATCTGCACCACCGCCTCGCTGACGGTCAGCAGCTTCTCCATGAACACGATCTTCTCCCTGGCGGCCGACCGGCGGGTGAGGGGGGGGAAAGGCGTGAGGCCGCTGCCCAGGTACACGATACAGAGCACAGCCCTGCCCCCCACATACAATGCGAAGGGTTTTAGGCTGCTCGCCAGGCTCATCTCACACCGCCCATGGGGGCTTACCACCCCTGGCCATTGAGTTTATTTGAAGGCCGTCCTGAGTACTACCCATTCGCGCTTGGGGTCGCCAAGCCAGCGCCCCATCCCTTCCTCCGACCCTGACTCTCCCCCCCCCCCACGAAATACACATGATAATACAAAATCACACCTCACGATCTCCGGTAGCACCGGCGGCTCGGCGTTGAGGTCCAGGGTCTCCGCTGCCTCGTCCCCGTCCTCCGGCAGGACGTCGGAGAGGGAGGGCCCGCCCTTGCCGCCGCCCCTGCCCGGCCAGTCGCTGCGCGCCAGGGCCTTGCCCTTCAGCTTGGACATCTTGCGCCGCAGCTTGTCCACCACCAGGTCAACCGCGGCGTGCAGGTCGTCCTCGGTGTCCTCCACGCGCACGACGCCGTGGCGCAGCGTGCGGACCGTCACCTCCGCGGTCTGCTGGCGCTGGTGGTGCGCCTCCTTGCCCCGCCCGCCCACCGACAGCTTGATGTCCACCTGGTAGCGGTGTGTGTGTGTGGTTGGGGGGGTGGGGTGGGGTGGGCCAGAAAATCATCCAGGAGCCGGGATGCACGAAATGCCGTGAGTACTCCCTCTGACAGGACGGCCAGCGTGGCGGGCCAGGCAGCTACCTCTTTTGCCGCATGGGCGGCATGGTGCACTCGCCAGCACTCCTCACACTCCACACCCCCTTGACCAGGGAACGCTCACCCGATCCCATGCCCCCCCCGTCCAGCCAGCCAGCCATGAATGCGCGATCCGCCTACCTCCTTGACGGCGTTGTCGTACTTTTGCAGGGCCTTGATCACCTTGGACTCGGCATGCTGCTTCAGGGAGGGGGTCAGGGTGATGTGCCTGCCCTGGACGTTCACCTTGAAGGCCGTGGATCCGGGGGCATCAGAGGTCGAGGCCACGGTCGGGCAGGGGAATCTTGCGGGGCGGCAGGGCAGGAAGGGCCTGAACTGGCGCCATGCCGAGGAGCGAGCCGGGCTCGCGGCGTGTCGGGACGACGGGCCGACACCCAATCCGTCCCCAGGGATCCGGATGCACGAAGGGGAGAGCATTGTAGACAACATCATTGGTATAGAGAATCAAAAACTGAGCAGTATTCTTTACTAGAGTGTGAGGGCCTGCTGCCTGAGCCGGAGAGTGCCGCCAAAGGCCCGTGTGCCGACATCATCGCGATGTAGATTGCGTGCCGGGCCACCTGTGCTGAAGGCGCACTGCATCATTGAACGCTGAATGTTCTGATATTAAGCTGAGCAAAAATTCGGTCCACATACAGACTGCTGACGGTGATAAGTCTGTACACAAGTGGATCGAGTGAGTCTTCAGATTACAGGGAAAATCACCAGACCTGTCTACGATGGAAAAGGCCTCAGATGCGTGGGCACGACACCCACGTCTCTGCACGGCCCAACTGTGCATGCTGCATCCCGCCATGCTTTTGGGGGTGTTCCAAGTACCACAACGGCCACACACCAGCCACAGTGGGGTGACCAGAATCGAGGCAGCAAGACAAACTGCATCCTCTGCAGCTGTGTTGACACCAGACTCTCATCACCCTTGCTTCCTGATGGGCCCGCTGAGTGGTGTTGCGGCGACAGTTCTAGGCTAGCCTCAGTGACTAGCTGCGTACATCTGCACGCCAGGTTTCTTTTCAATCGCACTGCTGTGCTGGCCAATGTCATGCAGGATGACTTGGAGGAGTGCCACCAATGGCTGTTCCCAGAGCCTACTGGGCATCACTCGGCAAGCTTCTACTGGTGCACGATGGGCTCCTATGAGAAAACCTTGACCGCAAGTGAGTGGCTGTGCAAGAGGTCTAGGGAGCTGCAGCAATCAGGGATGAGCTGCATGATATCAATACTCTCCCCGACCTGCTGTCGGTGCCTTCGATTGTGCTTTCATCACAGAGGCACACAGTCACCCCATCACTTTTCGCCCATACTGGGGATTTGATGTATCCAATAACCTGCACGCTGACGCAGGGCGCATCTCGGCATCCATGGCCAGCACTGGTGGGAGGCGTGGGCAGGGTACATGCAGGTTTCAGACCTGCCACTCGGCATCTCACCTGGCATGCCTTCGAAGTTCTGGACCCTGAGACCCAAGGACTGCAAAATCTCATCGCCATGCGCCTCCTACATTACTACCTGCCCCGTGCGGTACTCTTGCATGCTTGAAGGATCCTCGCATAGAATGGCCAGCGTTGGTAGTGCCGACGGGGCCGAACCTCAGAGCCCAGTACTGCGATGCATTATAATCGAATGCATATCTTAAGCAGGGGTCGAGTCGGATGGCGGTAGATGGGAAGTTGGGCATGTTCCGGGGTGGCCGAACGGCGTGGGGTGGCCCCTCACAGCCGTTCGGCGCCAAAACCCATCACCCCGCTGGTGATTAGCTCTCGGGGTCAGGAGTCCCGGGCGAGTTTCGCCGACGCCTTACTAATTAAAAAAACAACTTACGGAAGGATGGACTTCAGCGACGGCTCAGACAGCTCGGATGATGAAATGCCCCCGATCTTCGAGTTGTAAGTGGCGTATGAACCCTGCTCATGGTTCTAGTGCTCCCACCCGACAGCCATGGGCTACGATACCATGCATGTAAATGATCGATCTTAGGTGCATATTACTTCCCAACTTTCAGCGCCATCCATAATGCCGTGGAGTCGGGCGACCTTGAGGCTCTGGCTGCTCTCCTGCAGCACTCCGCCGGGGAGTCGGTGGTGAGCGATCCGCATGGTAAATGGTGGCAACATGATCCTGTAGGTGCACCATGATATGCAGGTCCATGCCTGCACCCTGTTACCCGCTCGACAGGCGGAAGGAGCCAGTGTAGAGCCTGTGTCTGTCCCAGGCATCAACTCTCGAGATGCCGAGGAGTGCACGCCCCTGCATGTCGCCATCCTGCATGGTGCGCTGGTGTCTTGGGCTGGGCTGCCCCTTCCGGGCCTGCTCATGTTGCATCAGCTTGCATCCAAGGCGCCTGGGAAGGCCGTCTGGGCCTGACTATCGGCGTAGGGGTGCGGAAGGGCGGCTGTCGAGCCTTCCCCGCAGCTCAACGGTCACTCAGCGCTCACCGGCCCTTGGCAATGCTCGCCGCAGGCAAGCTGGATGCCATCCAGCCGCTACTGGACGCAGGAGCCAGGGTGACCCAGAACTGCGAAGGCTCCCCACCCCTCACTATGGCCGTGTGCATGGGTAGCCACCCCAGCTACGAGCGGTTTGCGCTCGCGGCCTCCAGCCTGCTGCTCGACGCAGGCGCGGTCCCCTTCGAGAGGTGAGCCAGCGTGTGCTTTTTGGGGGTGGGGTGGGTAATGTGAGGGATGTCGAAGAGGCAGAGGGAGGGGCGGATGGATCTATGATCGGGGGTCGCTGGTCGGCTCTGTCAAGGTGTTATGAAAGAGAAGCGAGGAATGACTGCATTGATGTGGGAGGGAGGTCACCACCATCCCTGCGGACCTCAAGCACGCCAGTCACCTCCCCTTCTCAGCCCGTTCTCCGGCTGCCGACTTGCTCGGAACCCTCTTCCTTCCATCCCTCTTCATCCCCCCCTTTCCTCCCTTGCACGCGCGTACAGGGATGACTGGGGCCGCACCGCGCTGCACTGGGCTGCTTTCCTGGGCCTGACGGACGTGGCGCAGCTGCTCTTGCTCCGCGGCCAGCAGTGGGCGGAGCGCGAGGCCGCTCAGGACAGCGACGCGCCTGCCATCCCGCCGCTGCAGGAGTTCCAGGCGCGATGTGGGTGTGTTTGAGTCTGGGAGGGGATTGTTTGTTGGTGAGGGAGGCCCTTCTCGTGGGGAGACGAGCAGGAGGTGTCCAAGCGGAACAGGCTGCCCCTTCTTCCGATTAGATCCTCGCACCCGTGCCTCTTTCGTCAGTAAAGCCTTCGCCTGTCACTGTCAAACAATCTGTCCTCTCGGAACCCCCCCCCCAAAAAAAAAAAGTACCTTTGCTACTTAACCTTCTCCCCTTCCCTCATTCCTCCCCCTCGTGCAGGACAAGGCAGGCAACACAGCGCTGCACCTGGCTGCGCGGCACCGGCGTGAGGGGGTGCTGCACCTGTTCCTGCGCGCCGACCCGCCCCTGCGCGTGCGCAACCGGGCGGGGCAGCTTGCGGCCCACGCGGCCGCGCTGGGCGGCTGCCAGGCCTGCCTGGTGGCGCTGGAGGCGGCGCACCCCGCGGCCGCGGAGGCGCGCGACCGGCGCGGCCGCACGCCGCACACGCTGCTGGACCTGCGGCGCGGCCCGCGTGGCGCGGGGTCCCGGCGCGCCGCGGCGCAACCCGACGGCGCCGACAGCGCGGCGCGTGCGGCGGGCGCGCCGGGCCCGCCCCCGCAGACGCTGGTCCTGGCGCCGCCCGAGTGCTGGCAGCACCACACGGCGCCCTGGCCGCGTGCGCGCGCCTCGCCGGAGCCCCCGCCCGAGAACGTGGGCCGCCTGACGGCGCTGACGCACCCCACGCTGGGCGCGCTGCGCGGCGCCGAGGCGGGGCCCGTGCTCTGGGACGAGGCCGGCAAGCGCGTGGCGCTGGGCGACCTCCTGCGCGTCCACGACTGGTCCTACGTGCGGGGCATCCAGCGCGCCTGCGAAGACCTGCCCGACCCGGGGGTCGTGGGGGGCCCCACGGAGTGGGGCGCGCCGGCGAGCGCCCGGGCCGAGAGGATCGTGGGCGACGGCGCCGAGGGGGGCGAGGGCGCGGCGGGCGGCGGCGCCGGGGACGCGCGGCCGGACAGCTCGGACACCGGCCCCGCGTCCGCCGAGGCCGGCAGCTCCATGGCCGGCCTGGCCGACCCCCTCGGCGCCGCGCTCCCGCCCCCTCCTTCGATCGCCGAAGCGGCGCTAGGCTACCTGGACGGCGACACCGCTGTGTCGCGCGGCACCTGGCGCGCGGCGCTGGCGGCCGCCGGCGCCGCCGTGGCCGCGGTGGACGCCGTCATGGACCGGGACAGCCCCGTGCGCAACGCCTTCTGCGCGGTGCGGCCCCCCGGACACCACGCGGGGCCGGCGGGGGCGGTGCCCAGCGCGCGCGACCCGCACGCCACCAACGGCTTCTGCCTGTTCAACAACCTGGCCGTGGCCGCGGCCTACGCGCGGTGCGTGTATAGGGGCCGCGGCGTAGCACGTGTGGCCCTCCTCGACTTTGACGTGCACCACGGCAACGGCACGGGTGCGTGGTTGGGCGTGTGGCAGGGGCGGGAGATGTGGAGTGTGGGGTGGGCGACATTCAGTGTGAAGGGGGGCGAGGAGGTGTGGCCAATAAAAGGGACCTGGGATCCTGCAAAGCCATGGTGGTGCCTCTGTGGCATCATGAGCGAGGCATTGGATCCGGGACTCCTGAGCCGTGTTTGGCCTGCGTTTCCATGCACATTTCGGGCAGGCTGGATCCCTCCGCGCTCTCCATGTCATTCACACCGCTGATGGACCCCTCCTGTCCGCTCCCGGCTCATACGCAGAGGCGTGTGTGGTGCGGGCGGCGCCCTCGCTGCAGAGGGTCCCGTTCTCCACGCCTTACTCAGAGGGTGTTCAGGCGAGGGCGGGGAGCTTGTGTGGGTTGGGGGCCCGTGACGAAATGTGACTGGGTTCTGCATGGGCTAGGTATTGAGGGGGCAGGCATCGGGGAGTTGTGCCTCCTGGACACCTGGGTGGGGCCCTCCCTGACCCCGACCTCCCCCCTCCTCCCTCCCAGACATTCCCGGTCTACAAGCCGTGGCTGGACGCGGATGACAAGGACAACATCTTCTTCGCGAGGTGGGACGTGGATGGGGAAGAATGGCAAGGAGGGCCTTGCGATGGCATGTGCAGCGGAGCACAGGCAGGAGGGATGCCCTTTTGGCGCTTCTGTGGGAAACCCCTCCGGACCCTTCAGCATGCACATGCACGACCCTGCAGCGTCCAAGGGTTTGGGCCCAAGGCGGAAGGCATGAACGCATACGTCTACCCAGGGTCGGGCGCCACGGGGGACAACCGGATCGCAGACGACGCAGCCCGGAGTGCAGCAGGTAGGCCGTGCAAGGGTGGCCAGGGGTGCACAGGGTCGGCAGGAGCCGCAAGGAACTGGCGAGGATTGTGAGGAACGCAGTTTCGTGAAAGCATCTGGGACTGCAACCATTGTGGGGTATGTCAGGACAGTCCCAAGGGCTTGCAGTGCATATGTGGCCAGATGCTGCATTCGCTGGACCACGGAGTGCGCAGGGTCGCCATCCTGAGTGGCTCCTCCAGAGGATGTTGTCACAATGCCAGGGATGGTGTGCATGTCACTGCCCCCTACGAGCCCTGTGCACCATGCAGTTCAGCAAAGCCTGTCCATGAGGCACCAGCTCCCTCGTCTTGTCATGCAGGCATTGCCGAGGATCCGGATGCCGAGTTTCTGCCCACAGGTATGGCTCCGAGGAATGCTGAGACATTCCCTGGGTGTGCAGAGAAATTTACTTGCATCACCATCCGCACCTCTGTCGCCGGTGCACCCCCGATCCCACATGCAAACCATGCCACACTCCTCCCGCAGGCGAGGACAGTGTGGGAGCTGCGCCGCCCTCTGCACCCCGCGTCATCGACGTGGGGATTGGCGGGCCCGGCACCAAGGTCGCGCTCTGGCGGCGTTCCTGGCGCGACAAGATCATCCCCGCGCTCGTCAATTTCCGCCCCGACTTCATCTTCATCTCGGCAGGTTGGGGAGGGGTTCCCTTGGGAAATGTGCATCGTTAAGCATAGAATGCTGGGGTTTTGGGGGGGCAAGATTCTCACCATATAGGCGTGCCAAGGCGCAAGGGGGTGCACGGCTGGGTGGGGTGGGGTTCTGCCGGCGTCATTTGCACCCGCCTGCCCTTTCCCGGCCTTCTATTCCATCGCACCAAGCTCCACTAGACATACCCCAAATTCCGCCCCTCTCTCCCTGCCTTCCCCCCCCCCCTCCCCTCCAAAGGCTTCGACGCTCACCGCAAGGACGAGATCAACTTCCGGTACATTGGCGTGACGGAACGCGACTTTGAGTGGCTGACGGACCAGCTGGTGCAGGTGGCCAACCTCTGCTGCCACGGGCGCATCGTCTCCGTGCTGGAGGGCGGCTACCGCATACAGGTGGGTGTTTTGGAGGGGAGGAGAGGGGGCTTGCAAGGGTGCAAGGAGGGGGTCTGGGGAGCTGCTAGGCTGTTTGGCAGTGGGATAACCCTTTCGGGCAGGGCCTGCGCGCCTGCAAGCTTTGGGCCAGTCCAATTGCGAGCCACAAACCAGAGCCGTTGCACTGTAACTTCCCAACACCCGCCGTAATCCTGCCCAACACCTGCCACGCCCAACCGTAGTTCACCTGCTCCCATCCCCCCTCCCCCCTTTCCCCTCCAGGGCGGCAAGGTGTCTGCCTTCTCCCGATCGGTGGCGGCCCACGTTCGTGCCCTGGCCGACGACCACCGCATGGAATGGGATCCAAAGGCAGCCGAGGTGGGCCGAGCGGGAGGGGGCGTCGAGATGGGCTGATTGCATTCCATGCGGTCGTCAGCCATGCCTGAGTTTGTGGTGATCAGAATCCATACGGCGCCCATGTTTAGACCTTGAGGTCTGTGGGCTCCATGCTGCATGTTGCTGCTGATCAGCACGTGCTGCAGATGCTGGACTCCACAAAGTCTGGATGCCCCTGGCAACAGCAGCCCCCACTGCCACTCCCTCATGCAGTGGGAAAGGGAGCACGAAAAGCAAGTCCGGGCCGAGGCTGAAGCGAAGAGAGCGGCGGCAGCCATGGCCGCCGCCTCTGCACTGCTCAACAGGTCACAGGCCGTGGAGACCGGGGAGGGGCAGGAGAATGGTGAGGGCGGCGATCATGCGGGTGGGGAGGAGGATGGGGCCAGGAAACGACGGCGCAGGGGTGATGGGGTGGACTATGTTGCACTCAACAAGCTACTGGAGGAGGAGAGTGCAGGCACAAAACAGGCATGACCATCTTATGCGATATAAGCTTGTAAATGGGATTCAATGGACGCGAGAAACCGGTTTCTTTTGCTGGCCGATATTATTGTGGCGGGAGAGCTCCTTTTTTCCGGGAGCACTCCTGATACCGGACCCCACGATGCCCTGCCATGGCAACACATGAGATTTCGTGCGGCCAGCAGCGCCCACACATTAATTCAAAAAGCTCACACGATACTGGGACCCCATAGCACGTACGCCTCTTGTGGCTTTGTCCCCCACGATCTCCAACCGGAAGACGTGGCAGGCACCCGAGTGTGAAGTACGAGTGAAGATAGGCAGATTCATACGGCGCCTGAAGCCTGGTGTAGCGCTCTCTTGACGCCATGGAGGTCGATAAGAAGCTGACCATGAGCCTGGACGACCTCATAGCCAAGCAGGCCAGGGAGCGGAAACCGGACAAAAGGCCTGACGCACGAGCCAAGAAGGGCGCCATTGCCAAGGTGTGCTGGACATTCTGAAGTTTGTTATGTTGTATCTGTCTTAGTCTCGTTGGTATCAAGCTGCTCCTCGCTGGAGGCTAGGGTAATTGTACACCTATACAGCGCCCCACACCCACCCGGCTGCAGGGACGCCTTCCAGCTGCACCGGCAAAGAATAGCGAGGGCCGCGTCCCAAAGCAGCTCGGCATCAGGTCCCAGGGTCCGTCCCGTGCTGGAGGTGTCCAGAAAACGCAGTCTCATGCCAGGGCCCAGAATGGTGCCCAGGGGCCACACGGGCAGCACCCTCGCGCCTTGCAGCACCAGGTCCTGCAGCAGACGGGCCGTGCAGCCAACCGCAGCAACGGACAGATGCAGCAGCAGAAGTCTGCCAACGGCCGCGTCATCGCCATCACCTTCAAGAACCCGGGGCGGGGCGGAGCTGGTGTAGGGCATCAGGCATCAACGCAAGGCCAGAAGCCCAAGCCGGTGCCGGCTTCGGCGCCCAGGTTCCTCGCAGACCAGCAGAACAGGGCCCATTCGAGCGGGCCCTTGGTCCTCTCCGGGAGCAGGGAGCAGCGTGGATCGCTGACACACCTGCACACAGACTTCTCAGCCCCCGGGAGCCTGCGACGGAACAAGCACGGTGTGCTCATTCCCGCCTGAACCGTTCATTGCCCTTATTATGTGGACCAGGGCTCAATCCTCTGACCTTGGGGATGCCTATAACAGAATGCTACTTGTCAAGGATTTCAAATACCAGATGGAGTCAGCTCACAGAGTGACAGTCTGTTTTGTAAAATGACTAAAGAAATTCACAGAGTGATATGGTACTCGGCTACCATCACATGCTCGCCGAGGCCCGTTTGCCTGCGAATGCCGCTTGAGGGACCTCCATGCGATCATTCAGCATGCAGTCTGCGCACCAGAACTCGTCACCTCTGTGTAAAATACTCCAGGGTGCTCCCAAACATAAGAGGACATGTAGTTGCTGCAAGGAATGGTCCCGCTCGTGACCATGCACGAGGTGCCTGCTTGAGGATGTCGGACGGTGACCGGGCCAAGCCACTTCGACGCGATGCCGCGTCGCTGGGCTGGCTGGCACAGAGCTCGGTACAACCCAGGAAACGAACAGCGATCGAAGGTGATGCCTGACGTGCGCTGTGGGTCGAGAACCATGTGCCTGCCGACTTGTCGTCCTGGCACCTCGATCGCAGCGTTCCCGGTGTTTCCGTGAGGCATCTCGACCCTCTCCACCCCCCACACTATGATCCTACAGGGGTGAGTGGGACCAGCCTGGTGTCCCTCCGCTCCCAGCTGGCCAGCAAGCAGCAGGAGGCTGCGGCGACTCGCAGCGGCGCCCTGGACCCCGAGGAGCTGAGGGCCCGCAGGAAGGGGAGGGACGTGCTGTCCCAATCGAACCCCGGGGTCACGAGTCGCGACGCCCGTGACCGTGCAGACCTGCCGGCCACCCCCGGGGACGTCCTGGCCGCCTCGAGGGCCGCACTGGAGCGCAAGGCGGCGCTCTACGAGCGCCTGGCAGCGGGAGAAGAAAGCGCAGGCGGCGAGTACGAGGTGGACTTCGCCCTCAAGGCGCCCGACACGGCGCGCCTCGCCGTGGCGGGCGGCCTGGTGAGCCGCGACATGCTCGCGGAACGGGACCGCCGTGCCTGGGAGGAGGAGGTGGAGGCCAACCACGCCCAGGAAAGCGAGGCCGAAGCGCGGCGCCGGTCCCGCATAGATGTGAGTCCAGGGGGACCTTGTGTATTGTGTGTTCGTGAAGGCGCAGTGCCTCGGAGGGCGCCCTGATGCAGCCTAGCACATGCTGATTGGTATAAAAGGGACCAAAACATTGGGACCATTGTGAAGAGGATGGATTTCTTTCTTGGGGCAACAGTGATCAAAGGGCATGCTCGGCGGTCAGAACCCCCGCTTATGCGCCCCTGCAGGCTGTCAAGGAGCTGATGGCGGAGACGGCAGAGGGGCGCATGGCCGCTCAGGGCGCGAGAGCCGCTTCGCAGCAAGCGGCGGCATCCAAGGCTGCAGTGCTAAAGGCCGCCTTCCTGAAGCGCCAGGTGGAAGCTCGGCGGGCAAAGAAGGCAGCCAGCGGCTCAAAGGGCGGTGTCACCTGACTGGGAGCTGTGCCAGTGGGAAAGGGTGGGTACCACGCCAACACTTCTCCCCGCTGGATAACAGGGTGGGGCCTCTTGCCAGACCCGGCCTCAAGGCCACATCAGGGCTTCTCTTGCGAGAGTGTCGGAGGGAGAGGGCCCCCAGTTTTCTGCTCTACTTGCGCCTTTAGTGCTGCAAGGAACGCCTCCCTCTCCTCCCGTGTCTCCTCCAGCCGGCCAGCCTCGATGGCCGTTACCCTGTGCGAGCACATGCCCATTGTCAGGTCTGATCCTTCAGACAAGACAAGTTCCCCTCCCCTCCTCACGTGACTCACACACGACCTTGCGTTTGACGTTTACCTTTCGTAAAAGCCTGTTCGGATCATAAATGCCTCCATGCAGCCTCCAATCTGCATGCCAGGGAGGGATGTGGTCTTCATTATGCACACAGGGTGGAGGAGCTTGACGCGATGTCGCAAGCTACAACTCCGAATCTTCCCTGCCTCCTTCGGCTCACCAGGAAGCAGGTGCCTGCAACTGTCGCATAGTAGCGGGGTGGCAGCGACATGCAAGTGATCCTTGGTGGGGGTGGGTGTCGCACTTACTTATAGCTATGTATCTTTCCCTTCATCAAATATCAAACAATCAAAATGTCGTCGAACATGTCCTCCCGCCCTACCCTCGCTGTGTGCCTTGTTATCACCCGTCCTTGGTCGGAGCGCCTCAAACCAACGAGGGTCTTGATCCCGGCTACCTCAGAATTTGGGGAGCTCCACCATCACCAGGAGGCGGACCCGAGTGATCTTCGAAGCTCTCGTTTCTATCCGCTTGTAGTGTTCGTATTGCCAAACGCAAAGTTCTCCCCCGTGCCGCAGCTGCCGAGCCCTTCGAACCTTCTTGGCTGGGCCCGGACCTCCTCTGACACCAGTGCGGGGACATGGCTTCCAAGCGCATTCAAAAGGAGTTGCAGGTGCATAGGGTATTGGGAGGCGGTGACCCTGAACAGTCGCGAGTGCCCCTGGGCTCGCAGCCCATCCTTTCCCTCCCCGACCTGCCTGCCTGCAGGACTTGCAAAAGGATCCGCCGACATCATGCAGCGCTGGCCCTGCCGGAGATGATCTCTTCCACTGGCAGGTAGGCTCGCATCCCTGCGCGCGGGCGTGGTGCCGGGCAGCCCCACTCCCCAGGTGGCGCGCGCTGTCCAACCTCGGGCACCCCACCCCCTCTCCCGCAGGCCACCATCATGGGTCCCGGCGACAGCCCCTACACCGGCGGCGTTTTTTTCGTTACCATCCACTTCCCGCCAGACTACCCCTTCAAGCCGCCCAAGGTCCAGTTCCAGACCAAGGTGAGGCTGGGATTGTGGGCTGGTGGGGTGGAAGGGGCCGCTGGAAGTGCAACGAATCGCTAGAAGGCCGGCGGATGCTGGAGGGCAAGGCGCCCAGCACGGCTTCGTCCCGCCCGCGATTCCCACCAGCAAGAGTCGCGCGGCGCGCTCCACGCCTTGCAAATAGCGCCCCCCTCCCCCTCCCCGCCGCCCACCCATCCGCACCCCTCCCACCACAGGTGTACCACCCCAACATCAATAGCCAGGGCAGCATCTGCTTGGACATCCTGAAGGAGCAGTGGAGCCCCGCGCTGACCATCTCCAAGGTCCTGCTCTCCATCTGCTCCCTGCTCACGGACCCCAACCCCGACGACCCGCTGGTACCCGAGATCGCCCACATCTACAAGTCCGACCGCTCCCGCTACGAGGACACGGCGCGCGAGTGGACCCGGAAGTATGCCATGGGGTAACCTCGGGGGGTGGCACCGCCCCGACGGGGGTGTGCCGCGCCGTGCCTGCCTGCCTGCTGCCCGTCCAGTGTGATGTGAAAGCAGAATGCGGCCAGGGGGTCTGGCAGCGGTTTGAACCGGGGACGACGCTCGGCAGGGCAGGGGGCGATGGGGCTGGGCCGAGGCGCATCATGCAGGAGGGGCCGGTGAAGGGGAAGACTGCTGACCGGGCGGGTGCGCCGCTCGTCTTGCCGGCCAGGCAGAATACTGCCTGGCCAATGGCACATGCTTCCGACGCCGTCCGAGGCCGTGAGGCTGCAGGGGAAGGCTCGGCGGCCGCTGCACGGGTCTGGGCAACGGTGCGCCGGGCCTCGGGCCTTCAGAGCATCCCTCCCTCGTTTGAAGGGGGTGGTGGGGCAGCCGCACGCGCCGGCTGGGCACTTGCGGCGGGGCCAGGGGCCGTGCGTACCACGTGGGGCATGCCGCTTCACAGCGCCTGGTGCTGCAGGCGGCCGCGAGTCGCGACTCTCCGCCCTAAAACTGCTTGCCCATCTCCAGCTTCTTGCGCAGCATCTTCTGGCCGTGGTACACGGTGGCGTCGACGATGCCGCTGATGGTGAATACGCCGCCGACGATGGCGCACGTGCTGGTCAGGAAGGCGAGGAAGGACGATCTCCGCTCGATGAACGTCACCTGGTTTGTTGTGGAGGGTGGAAGGGGATTGGGATCCGGCTGCCGTACATGAAGAGGTGCGATGGCAGCCATGTCGGCTGCAAGGCCAGCCCTCGAGGGGTTCAAATCTCCCTGCAGACCCCAGCCGACTCCCAGCACACGCATCTCCCCCTGCCCCATGCCCTCCGGCCCCTCAGCCCTCCACCTCCAAACCCCGCACCCCCCCTTCCCGCGGCCCTGCCTTGATGGGCGAGAGGTCGTAGAAGAAGAAGATGCCCGTCAGCTCCTGGCCCATTCCCCCAGAGGGCTTGAAATGCTCCGTGACCGAGAACTGGTTGGTCTCGATGACCGCGCCGCGCGTGGCGTGGTACTCGGTGGGCACCACCTTCAGGAAATACTGGTGCTGGCCCAGCACGGGGCGGTCATGCGAGTCGCGCACAGCGTGCACGTCCACCCCGTCCAGCGGGTTGTGCATGCCCTGGCGGGGGAGGGTGAAAAGGGTGGACAAGGGGAAGGGTGAGGCCGCTGGGTCGGCTGGAATCACAATCCTGCAAGCATGGGAGGCTGAGGCACGAAAACGGGCTGGGGCGCAGGAGGAACCGTCCTCCTCCGGTGCGCGCCCGGCATGGCTCCCATCACCGCTGCCGCCGTGTGGCCCAGCACAGCACTCCTCTTTGCCTCTGGCCCTGCCAGTGCCCTCCAACAATCAAGGGTTCCATCAAGGCCACCTCCCCCAGAGCAATGACGAGGAACTCATACTCCCCCCCGCCCCATCTACTCACCGGATACTCCTGTCCAAAGGCCAGGTTGTCAATGGTGTGCGAAAAGTCAAAGACCTCGCCCACAAAGGGGCTGGTGTCGTGCACATGCATGTGCCCCGCCTGGTACGACTTCCCCGGCGCCAGGTGCAGGTTGCCCGCCACCTTGTTGATGGACAGGGCGCCGTAGATGCGGCAGCCCTCCCCCCGACTGGCCTTGATCTCCTCCAAGTAGTGGTCCTCCGCGCACTGGATCACGGTGGCCGTGTCGCGCACCGCCCAGCCGCGGCGGCGGTACGCCTCCCGCACCTCCTCGCAGGTGTTGCAGCACTTGCCCGCCTCGAACTCGGCGCCGTAGCAGCTGCCGCAGGCCGCCGTCGCGTTGGAGCCGCCCAGCGCTGCAGGCAGCGGCTGCCCGGTGGGGCCCACGTGGTGCTCCGAGTCCTCACCGATGGCCAGGCCCTCGGGGGACAGGCGCCGGCGAAACACGGTGTGGTCCTGGGGGTGGTGGTGGAAGAAGGCGGGAATGGAGCATGAGTCGCGTGAGCCGCACGGGCGGCCGCGACCACCAGCCCCCCGGCAAGCATGCGCCTCCCCCGCCGCTCGCCCCGAACCCTGGTCCCTCGGTTGTGCCATCCCACCACGTCCAGCTGGAGCTCGCCGCTGACGTCCATCGCATCCACGCTGACCCAGGAACAGGGCATGTGGGGCAGCGTGATGTCAAACTGCAGGGAGGGGGGGGGGTGGTCATGGCCGGGGAGTGGAAAGCAGGAGACTTGGTCCAGGAATTTTCAGGAACTCAAGTGCAAGGTGGAGCTTTGCATGGACCAGGGTCTGGAGTTTCATTGAACCAACAGCCCCCATCCATCAATCACAGTGAAATACTGGTCTCCTCACATGGATGTCCATCTTCTCCCCCCGACTGGTGTCCACCAGCAGCTCCGTTACGGTATCGGTGTGCATGAAGATGCCTGTGGGGGTTGGGAGACGGCTTGATTGGGGCTCGGCCTGCGGTCTCCACGCGCAGCCAAGGAGCCCCCACCACCATCACACCCCTGCTCACCCAGCTCAGACACGAAGAGCAGGGTCATGAGCGCAGCAGCCACCAGCGTGATCACTCCTCCAGCCATAGTGGACTGGAAGAATTCCTTGGCCTCCTCCCGCTGCTTGGGGAAGGCGTCGAAGTGGCGCAGGACCGACCACCCCGACCCCGACTGGGGCGGGACGGGCCTCGCACCGTACATACCGCCTGACGCCGGATGCCTGGCACTGTGTCGCGATGGTCAATGCTGGGAGGACTCAGTCAAAGGCATCGGCGGGGGAAGCGCGCGGCAGCTGAGCCCCGGATTTAGAAATGCTGTCGGAATCAAAGCACGCGCTCAGCATGGCGACCATGGCAGCGGTGGCGAGAGCCCCATGCTTCTATCAAGTATGTCTTGGATTGGTGAGCTGAAGCGGACCTCACGGTCGACATGTACGAGCCTGAAAGTCGCGTCGGGCTCTTTTCATGGAGCCGATGCTGCTTTCAGGCTGTGATAATGAAAACGGCACGAATCTTGACAGACCAGGGGCTCCCTGCCGGCACATACTGAAAGGAACCAGCCTAAGCATGCTCCCTGCACCCTCTGTACGAGCAGCCCAACAGCCTGACGTCATCCCCGCCCCAAGCTTGCATGCTGTCTTTGCAGGCAAATGAGACTCCTTGATGGTCAATCACCCTATGCGCATCTTCACAAGCTGCAGCCATACACATGACTCCCATCAGGCACCCTGCCGCACATCGCCCAAAACCGATCACATTCGTCGTAATGTCACAACGCATACATGTAGTGCGCAGAGTGGGTACAGTGCCATGCATGTGCAGAGCATGTGGGCATCCCCAGGGGGAAGGCACGCATGCACGGCAGCCAGGCTGCATGCAAGGATGTTGGGTGCATCCTGAGGCTCAGTGACCTCCCGACCTGTGCTTGGGCTCCCTTTCCAAGAAAAAGACAGCAGCAATCAGAACGTAGGTGATGATGAGCTGCAGGCCCAGGAGCCAGTTGGAGGATCCATCGGAGGACACAAAGTAGGCCAGGATGACAGCCACTGCAAGAGGTTGGTGTGGGTTCGGTCAGAGGTTGAACAGACAAGGTGCTCTTAAGGAGGCAGCCCCTAAGATGAAGTTAGTGCACAGATGATGCGCCCAGCGCCACCATTGTATCCAGCTGTAATGAAGCAGTGAAGACGACACAACTCTCTTGCAGAAATCACCCACAAGCCCCCCACAACATTCCTTCCGCATGCCATTTCCCACCTGTGAGCATGAGGACGCTGAAGACATCAAAGTCAAGGGTGAAGGTGGTGCCCATCACCCAGCCGGCCAGGACCTGTGCAGCAAAGGGATAAGGGTATTGCACGGTTGACATGGTGCTGTGGAGCATGTATTTAAGATGTGATTGGCAGGTTGTGATGATTCGATATCCCAAGACCTTCGGCTGGGTCCTCGGTCCGGCCAGAGCCTGCACAGTTTTGCCACCCACCGTGAAAGGGATGGCAAAAAGGGCTATCTGGATGGAGGAGCCGACCGCCACTCCGATCGCCAGATCCATCTTGTTTTTGAACGCCACAAACACGGCTGAGGAGGTGGGGAGGAGGGGAATCCCCAAAGAGGTGTTGCGGTGTAGAAAGTGAGGAGCAAGATTCTATGTACGACAGCAGCTCTGATGGTCACAAACTTGCAGGCCTCCTGTGCCGCCCACAATGTCGCCCTGGCTTGACCCTGCGGAGGCACTGCACCGACTCACCGGTGATGTGTTCGCATGCATTCCCTGCGATGGGCAGGACTATGAGACCCAGGAAGGATGGGTTGATGTTGAATTTTTCACTCACTGCCTCGATGGCGCCGGTGAGAAACCTGGCATTGAGCGGTGGTGAGGGGAGGAGGGTGGGTCCTGTGTGCAGGAGAGGAAGGGGGCAGCAGCGAAGGTGAGCCCACCAGGTGACGAGTGCATCATTCGATCCCCCAAGCTCACTCCGAGCACACAGCCACAATGACTGTGATGGCCGAGAGGAAAGCCAGGGCCCCGGAGAGGGACAGCGCGGGGTTGTCCTCCGACTCGCCCGAGGCGAAGAGGTCGCTGTGCGTCTTCAGCTGGAAGGTCAGGTAACAGAAGTACCTGCGCGTGAGGATGTCAGATTTGTGAGTCTGAGGTGGATGTCACAAGGACGAGTGGGGTGAGAGGGGCCAGTGTCCTGACACCCGAAGAGGAGACGGGTCGACTGCGCACCGCCAAAAGCCTCGGCATGAGCCGTCTTGCATCCCTGCATCGGCCTCCTTCGCCCAATCAAGCGGTGCAGCCTGCGCCATACAGGACGCAGTCCCAGGGCAAATTCCAGGTCCATGCTGGCCGACCTGCCACCCACCCACCCTGCCAGCCAACTCACACAAACATGAGGAGGATGGCGATGGCGTGGCTGAGGTTGATCACCGCGGCATCGGTCATCACCTCCGAGCCATAGATGCGCTTGGCCATGGTGGGAATGATGATGCCGATACAGGCCACGAAGAGGAGGGAGGACCCCACCTGCGCAGGGGTGCGTGCAAGTGCAGGTGAAGTAGAAGGGGGATGGGGTACCGCTTGGGGCAGCACGTGCATGCATTGCTGCCTGTGGCTGGTGTTTGACACCGCATCTCCAGCTCGAATCAGGGGTGCGGTCGGTGGACGCACTGCATTGGATCCCTCCCCACTTCAGTCCACATCACCGTGTCCCCATCGTGCGCCCCAAGCCCACCTTGTTGGCCAGCGGCGAGAAGCGCTGCTGCTGGAAACGCAGTCCTCCAAACAGGAAGCACATGCCTGGGGAAGGAGTGGGGAGGTGGGGACGGGGACGGCTGAGTGGACTGCGACGCCCAGGGAGCCAGGGGGGGGGCTTGACACCTCGAGGCAAATGCAGGCCATGAACTCCGTGAAGGACACGCAGGGGGCACTGCATTGGAGCTGCCCTGCCCCAGCAAGCAGCTGGGCGGGGCGCCTCTCCCTGCCTGCATCGCCGCTCCCTCCCCATGGCCTCCCCCATCCAGAACACCACAAATGCATGGGGCCCCGTACCCAGGACGAGGAGGAGGTTGGAGAGGATGGACCCGATCAGACTGGTGGCCACCACCGTGTAGAGGCCCTTGCGCAGCGCGGCAATGGACAGGATCAGTTCCACCACATTCCCAAAGGTGGCGTTCAGCAGCCCACCAACCGTGTCCCCAAACCTGCAACAGGTGGGCATGGAATCCAGGGCGTGACCACCATGGCATGCTGCATGACGCCGATCTGGAGGCTGTGCACCGCCTTCTCTCCCTCCTTCCGGCAAAGAAGCACTCTCACACCTGACGGCCAGGTCCTCCGTCGTCTCCCCCAGGAGGAGCGCCAGGGGCACCAGGGCCAGGAAGTTCTACAGGAGGGGGGGGGGGGGGGAGGTGATGTCACGTGCGGGGACCCACTGTGCAGATCCTGCATCGTGCAGAGCCTTCCCGAGTGTGGCACGCCAGGGAATGCCCCTCCTTGCACCCTGTGCCCCTCCCGCCCCACTCCCCCTTCAAAATCCTCACCATGATGAAGACGAGGGTGGGGCTCCAGCCCAGCGCGCCGGCCAGAATGCCCACGGGGATGCAGGCCAGGAGCACGTTGATGTAGGAGGAGACGAGCATGAGGCCGATGCAGCGCGCGTCTGACCCGGGGGACCACACCCCGGGGTGGTGCTCCATGGCGATGGACTGGTTCTGGAGCACGGTGCCCGTGCCCAGCGTGCCCGCCAGCGTGGAGATGAAGGTCTGCGCGATGGCGTCGCGGGAGCGGTCGCCGCCGCGCCGCGCCAGGCGCCGCTCCGACAGGATGCTGGCCGTGTCGGAGTCGGAGTTGGCAAAGTTGTCGGGCATGAGCTTGCTGACGTGGGAGGCGGCGAAGCGCCAGTGGCGGCGCGCGCGCTCGCTGTTGTGGGCGCCGCGCGGGGGCTGGTGAGGGGGCAGCGCGCCGTTGCCCGCGGGGGACTCCCCGGCTTCCGCAGCGGCCTCCGGGTCCAGCAAGGGTTCCTCCAGATGCCCCGAGGCCCGGGAGCGGCTGGAGAGGCGGGGGGAGCGCAGGCTGGTGGACAGGGTCAGGTTGCCCTCCTGGTCGGCCCCGTCCACGCCGCTGCGGCGCGCGGCGTCCGCAGAGACCAGGTGGAGCTGGCGCCGGGAGATGTCCATGTCGGCGACAGGGGGAGGGGGGTGCAGGGGGTGCTGGGAGGGGAACGGCGACACCGACGCCCTAACTGAGCGCTTGGTGCGTCGCGGATGCGCGCCCTGGGCAGCGCGGTACGGAGATCCCCTGCGTCAGAATTTCCGATCGACGGCCATGCTGGACGAGTACTGGCCTGGTCCCGTCATGCGCGCGGTGCATGACAGCGCCATCGTGGGACCGGGCAGATCGCAGACGATCTCCACCACGAGGCCCTTTCTTCGGGCCCCTGCATCTCCCAGGAAGGGGGACCTCCTGGCCGAGTGTGCGGCGCCAAACCAGTCCACAAGCACAGCTCCTGTGCGACGCTGGATAATTCTTGGATCTCAACTCAATTTTGAAGGGGTGTACATGATGCAGGATTGTATTGTTCTGTCGACAGGCATTGTTTAGGACAGGCAGAGATCGTCGGGGGGGGGGGGGGGCAGCTACAATAGAAGCAGCTGGCTGAGCAACTGATTGACCTGAGATATGGCGCGCGCTCCACCAACATACTGTCCTGCTACCAGTCAGACTGCTCAATGAGTTGATTCCATGTCCTCTTCCTGGCAGCTAGCCCTGTGTCAGTAGATGACCAGGGACGTGAGTCCAGGATCTGGAGACAATCTGGTGCACAGCCGTCGAGGGCTCATCATCTGGTCTCCTGCTGGAAATGCAGACGCTGTCACTGCCCAAACCTAAATCAGACGGGACCTCCTTGCATCAGGAGCTCGGCAGGGCAGGGTGGGGTGTGAGTTTTCACGCTTGAGGAATCCATCAATGTTGACTATGAGATCCAGTATACAACTCTTGGTTACGATGTCATGACACCGCACCATACCTGAAATCAGCCACAGAATTGACAGTGATTGAGGATGCCTCCCTGAATGGTCCTGGTGCAAGTCACACTCCCCCACTCAGATTCTGTTCTTGATCACGTGATGGTCGCCCGGCTGAGCAGTACACCATCTGACCATTCGCGATGCTCGCGGCTCGACACCTCATCTTGCAAACCCACCCTTGTGTTGTCTAAACTACTATGCGGCTGGCCTGGGGTGGAGATAGAGGGCATACATGTATGCACGAGACCTCTGTGGAGGCGGAGGCCGTACCATCAGCGGTATTCCCGGCACACTTCCTGGCACCACAACCGGGTCATAGGTCACTTAATTAAATTATAAAAAGATGCTGCAGGATGTGCGACGTAAATAGCACTCGATCCTTGGATTTGACCTCATGACGTGCGAGGAAGGTTTAGCTGGATCGCCGGGGTCCATTGCCTGGTGGAGAAGTATAGGCAGAACTCAGGGACGCAGGGCCATGCATGGTCATGCAGTCGTAAGAGTCGACTACAAGCCTCGGACCGCGCGCATATGCCGCTGGTGTGGTCTGCTTCTGAAAACGAAGGACCGAACCATACTTGTGCAGGGTTTCGTGGTGCCCAGGCGCTCATAATACGAGTTCCACTAGGATTCATATGCATTCTAGGTGACTTCAGGACACCAAACGTTCCACAAGGTGGAAAGGCACATGGGCAATCCAGGTACCTCCAGACGGGTGTCCGACACCCGTCTTCCGAATCGCTGTCTGACACAGAATTCTTGGCACTGCCAGACGTCGAGCGAAGACCTGCCCAGGAGACCCACCTGAAGCCACACCTTGAGGGGGCGCGTATCCCTGTTCCTTGGACATGACAATCCCTGAAGGTACCATAGTTACGATTGTACCAACTTCGAGTCAAAACCCACACGCTTTCCGATATTCGTATCATCAACCATCTAAACTCCATCTTACAGGCAAGGATGGGCGTCCTTCGTGTGTGCCTGCTCTTGCTCGCCGTGCAGATTGTCGCCGGTCGCTCAGGTGGGGTGGGTGGCACGGGGTGGTTGTCCTGCACCCTCCCTTTCATGCCCGAACCCTTCCCGAAACCTGGTTGCAACGTTCTCGAATATAAAGGTTGATGTACATGCCTCATCCTCGGCTGGATCCCTCCGACTGCAGGCGGCTTCGTGGTGGACAGCCATGACCGGTCGCTGCTGGCCGCCAAGAAGGACTGGCTCCACGAGTGGGACGAGAAGACCCTCGTGAAGGCTTGGGATGGCTTCCACTCGACTGGTGGTTCGAAGAAGAACGGGGATGGATCTTCCGGTGGCAAGATCAAGAAGGAGAAGTTCGACATCGACGGATGGTTCGGCTTCCTCAAGGGGCAGCATCAGGCTGGTCCCGGCAAGTCTACCGGCGGCTCCAAGGGATCCTCGAAGTCCTCAAAGCCAGAGAAGGAATTCCCCGACTTCTTCAAGTTCTTGAAGACGAAGTGGGGCAAGGGCAAGAACTGAGCACGCCAAACAAGAGAGCACCGATGCGCATGCACAAACACAACCTTTGGCCTGGGCAGGACTTGCTTCCCACTCAACGCCATCGACCACAACCACTTGCAGTTTTGTCCCTCGCAAGTCAGTTTTCTAACCGCTTAAGTTGTCTAGACTCTCTCACCCGGGTTGGCATTCAGCAGCTTGTTCCCGTCCATGAGCGATGTAATAGCGTCACGTAGATCGTAGTGCACCCAGACTGAGCGCCACACCCAGTCAGCCGCTGGGAGGGATGGTATCAAGCACCCCGGACCCCTTGAAGCCTAGACGTGTCTGCCTGCCCGATTGGCTTTCGAGGTTTCCAGTGAGTTGGTCATCGCCATGAGTCAATTCTTCAACATCGACATGGGGGTGACTGTGCGGTCCTTGTGCCCTTAAATCATAATATCAGACTCCAACAACTGTCGTAGCATGCTGTAGGGGCGATCCTTGATCTTCATGGGTGTCAAGACAAGATTGCAGTAACCGAATCGTTCACCAGTACCATACTCCCTCCTCCCGGTAGTACCACCCCCCAGTCGCCGGCACTTATCAAGCACGTCTTCGCACTTGGAGCCAGAATCGTATTCTCTGCTTGGCAATCTGGAAGTACTTGGAGACGATCATGATGCTCAGATTACCGGTGCTGGATTCCAGCACTGGGCCCACAACCCTGTGGGGCGATGGCAGCTTGCCTATGAGCTGAGCTCACGAGTCCCCCAGAGACTTAATGTTCGCACGAACAACACAAATGAAGCTGAGATGCATGCGGGGTGAGGCACCCTCACCTCTCCGTGGCATCAAGAACTTGACATCTGATGGAGTAGGAACTCCTGGACCGTACGGGTGAGTAGCATGGAAGTGCAGCAGGCCCTATGGCATGTCGGCATTGAAGTCACGATGATGCATGGAGACATCCCGGCGGTTCTTAGAGTCGTTGGCGTGCCTTGTCAATGGCAACGCTCAACACTTGAAACCGCCTAGAGCAGGAGTTGGGTTACGGGTCGCAGCGGATATGGCATGAGGGCGAGGGCATCCGCTTCTCCCCGTGCCGGCCTGTTTACTCAGACATACCAAATCGATCACTTGGTTTCAAAGGCAATGAGTTCCTTAAAAGTTTCTGTGGGCGCGGCGTTGTATGCCGTCGCGTGGCACCAATCCCTTCCCGAATCCTTGCTGCAAGCAGGTGCAGGTTGAACAGACCTACGACGGCTACCATGGAGTGCTCAAGGTGCCTTGGATTCAATTCCACATACTGCTCCAGCTACAGGTTTGTTGCCCCATCAGGATGGGGCGTGTGGAGAATGTGCTGTGCTTATGACCATCGTGTGCCCTTGAGGAATTGCGGGCTTTGGCGGGTGGTGCAGCTGGGCAATCCAGAGCCTTGGGCTCCAGCAAGAAAGGTCCTGCCATACATCAAGCTGGTCTGGCGCTGGGGCTCGGGGACTGGATGCAGGGGAGTCGTGCCCGGGAAGCCATCATTCCCTTGCATGGCTCCCCTGCACCATTTCTCGTCCCGTGCGTCAGTGCACCGGCACCCCGCTCAGTTGACTGGGACTCGTCCAGACCCTGAGTTCCAGACAGATACGGCGGTCACATCCTGATGTATATAGTGGTTTAGTCACACGACCTTCCCTCCTTGCAGGTGCAAGCCCAGAGACTGCTGGTGTTGCAGATGAGAGGCATGCAAAGGGCCACGCAGCGGATTGCCAGGAGGCGGCGCCTGCAGTGTCATCAGAATGAATGTAGAAGCTTGGACGCTGCACTGCCTTGCATTGCCGTGTGCCACATTGGTGTTATTGCTCCGCTGACTGTGGACCTCGAAGACCTCCATGCACAGCACTGCACGCATGCCAGGGTAATATTGCCTTGTCCATAGGCGTCAGCTTCAGTGTGCTCAGGGGTGTCTTATGTGGCCAGGGACACCCTTGGTGCAGAGGTGGGCATCCTGAGCGCAGCGTGAGACATCTTGCCTGCACCGTGGCTCGGCGTATGCCCGGCGTGGCTCAGCAATCCGGCCTCAGACATTGAAGCGGAAGAGCATTATGTCGCCCTCCTTCACCACATAGTCCTTGCCCTCCAGCCGAGTCAGCCCCTTCTCCTTGGCGGCGGCCAGGCCCCCAACGGCCACGAAGTCTTTGTAGGCCACGGTCTCGGCCCTGATAAACCCCTTTTCAAAGTCGGTGTGGATCACTCCGGCGGCCTGAGAATTGTGTGGGAGAGGGAGGATTCGACGGCACCTCCCACAGCATCGGCCTGGTGGGAGTGCACCTTGGCCCTTTGACAGCCCATGAACATGAACATGTGCACCAGCGGCCCCCTTCCCCAACAACAGCACCCCCACCGTCACCCCCTACGACGCCAGTGCACACCGCAAACGCACCTGAGGCGCGGTCATGCCCTCCCTGATCGTCCAGGCCCGACTCTCCTTCTCGCCTGCAGGGAGCATGCCCGGGAACGCTCGGTGCCCATGCATGCTCGGGCCGCCACCCGACAGGGCAGCAGCCGGCGCCGGCAGCACACTTCACACGCCCACTCCACACCGCCAACATCCCGTGCACCCTCGCCGCCCACCTGTGGTGAAGTAGGTGAGCAGGCCCAGCTGGGAGTAGGTGGTGCGCACCAGGCTCTTCAGGCCGCCCTCGCTGGCCCCCAGGTCCGCCAGGTACTCAGCAGCCTCAGCCGCGTCCAGGTCCGTCAGCTCGGCCTCCACCTGGGCGGAGACCAGGACCACCCCGCACCCCTCCTCCGCTGCCTTGGCTTGCAGTGCCTGTGTGATGTTTCCAAAAGTGCACCAAAGCAATCCTGGCTCCGGAATTCGAAATGCTCCATGCACGCCAGGCCACAGATCATCGACGTGCTTTTATCAGGCACACGGATGGAGGGAGCCTCCCTCACCAGATGGAGATACCTTTTGATAAAAATACCAGACTCCTGGACGGCCCCACACCACACCATACCCTCCCACCTGGACATGAGGGTTGCTGGCACCCTTGTCTGCAAGGTCTGCCTCCCCCACGTTGGCAGCATACGTCAGTGGTTTCATTGTGAGCAGGCACAAGCCACGGACTGCGATGGGGGCATTCCATGTGAGGGGAATGTGTATATGTAGGTGTACATCTTCATGGACTTGGGCATAGCCTTGACCCAATTTGCAGCCTCGTCTGACTCCTCCCGTTGCCCCCCAGACCCCCAACCCACCAAGCTCTGCCTCCTCTGGGGTCAACAAGACGGAGCGAGCAGGGAGTCCAGTCTCCATTGCCGCCATGAGACGCTGCAGCACGCCAGTCTCGGCCTCCTGGGTCTTGATCTCCTCCGCCGTTTTGGCCCTGCCCTTCTTCAACCGCTCCAAACTGAATGGGTGGGATTGGCGGGAGCCGGTGCTGAGCATGCGCAGACCTCTCTACCCCTCCCTGCCGAGCACCCGCAGGGCTCCATAGAGTCCCAGCCCCCACATAGAGCTTGTCCTCAGCCCCTCACAGGGCTCACTCACCGCTTCTCCACCTGACCGATGTCAGCCAGTGCCAGCTCAAAGTTGATGGTGTCGATGTCCTCCACTGGGTTGACACGCCCATCCACATGGATGACGTCGTCGTTCTCAAAGCAGCGCACGACCTGGGGGTGGCAGTTGTACGGCAGGGTATGATGTCTTGCCATCCCTGCATGAAAACCGTCGCTGCGCAGCAGGTACTTACATCCCACAGGGACAGAACAGCTCCTCAACACATCATATGCCCCCCCACGTATGAAAGGCTAGGCCCGACAAGACCACCCCGATGCCCTCTGCCCTGAATGCTTGCCCACCACATCCAACCTCCCCAGCAGCTGATCTGCAGCCTCTCGCAAAGCCCTCATTTCCCCTCCTGCCGGACCTGCACTAGGGAGTCGCACTCACGAATGGTGGCCAGGAACTTGTTGCCCAGGCCCTCCCCCTTGCTCGCGCCCTTCACCAGCCCGGCAATGTCCACGAACTCTATGCTAGTAGGCACAGTCTTCTCTGCGTGGGAGCGGGCGATTGGTTGCCAGGTGAGGGCGGCTCACGATGCCCATGGTGTGGAAACGAAATGGGGTGCGATGAACACATCACGATCAGGTCCTTGCACTCCTTCCCATGCTAGACCCGCCTTGCCTGACTTGGACATGCTCACGAGGATGTCCAGGCGTGGGTCTGGCACAGCCACCACGCCCACGTTCGGCTCGATGGTGCAAAAAGGGAAGTTGGCGGCCTGGGCTTTGCTATTGGAGCACAGCGCATTGAACAGCGTGGACTGCAAAACCGGAATCAGGGAAGAGGGGCATGCGCCTTGATCACATTCAAGAGGCTGCAGGCTCAGGCAAGGGCCTCTGAAAAGCCACGAGTGACCCGCCACGGCCCTTGCAGGGCCACCTCCCTGCCACCTGAGCCGTCGCTTTTCGCCCCACATGTCACACCTTGCCGACGTTGGGCAGTCCCACGATCCCCGTCTTGAGAGCAAGCGTGATGGTGGAGCTGCGCAGCCCCCGGCAGTGTCGTGGCCGCGGGCTGGCAGGCATGAAGGAAGTGGGGCCTGGGTGCACATGCGCCGCCTGCTGTGCTGGCCACATCTGCAGGCTGTGTAACGCCCTCACGGGGAAGTGCATCCCCCTTTGGCGCATGCTTGCCATCAGTGGGGAGGCTGCCACATTAAAGGCCATGACAAGGCGGCTGGAGCAGGTGGCCTGCATTCCGCCTGAGCCACGGGGGCAAACCCTGGCCACAGTGTGCGGGGAGTTTCACGCGATGTCACAACCCGCTTGGACGCCAGGAATCGAAGCGCATAGACTGTTTATCACATTGAGCGATACGGAAATCCGTGCCAGGACCGATCATCAGGCCTGGCGACGACACATTCCCTGCTCCGGCATGTTATCCTTGTGTGGAGTCTCGGGCAGCATGGCTCGCAGCAGGGGCGCAGCATGGTGTGCAGGTGGCATGGCTACACCTGTAATCAGACGACCAACAAGAGATGGTAATGCCAAACGATGATGACGAGGGGCCCGCCCTCCCACTTTGATGCAAGAGGGAATTGACTGTGCTGAGTGAGAAGTTCATGTCTCCATGCCCATAGGGTTGCAGAGCGGCAGGCCAAGCCGGTGCACCTAGGTCATGTGGGGAGGAAGTGGTATTCTGGATCTGCCCACTCAAGAGGCAGCACACTTGAGTCTCCTGCCATACGAGGCTGGAGGGCCTTTCCTGTGCTGGTGTCATCGGATCCACCCGCGAGGCTATCCCTCCAGCATTGCCAACTACTTCTCCAAACATATCTCCCTTGCACGAATACCTCCTCACTTCGCCTTTGCCTCATACCTGGGCCCTATCCAACTGCCTTCCGGTACTCAAGGCTTGATTCCCTCTTTATTGAATGCCAATGCGACAGCTACGCAGTCGGTTTGCTGAAGCTTGCCGGCAACACTTGTGCCAACCACTCCATCTGTGCCTTGCCAGCTGGCTCAGCATCCAGCCCGGCATGGGATTGCACCTTGTCGACATCCTTCTGGGCCGGCCGCACGCCATTCACGACAGCCACTCCCACAGATTTCATGGCCTTTGGAAGTCGTGAAGAGATCTTCTGGGCCGGTGCGGGGGACTTTGGAAGTGCCTTGCCGTGTGACGCCTGGCTCTGCGGCTGGCCAGGCTTCTTCTGAGCCTCCTCGCCGACCGTTGCCTGTGCAGCAGCCGCTTTTGGCAGCTGGATCGCGGGTCCCTTCTTCTCGGGCTCTGGAAGAGTCGGAGCCGGGCCACCTGGGGTGCCCGGAGCCGCAAGTACCTTCTTGCTCTTCCTGGCCTTGGTCTTTTTGGCCAGATCAGCAGGTTGGTTGTGGGCGTCGGCGTTGGCGGAGGTAGCAGCTTGGCTTGATGTGCTCGGGGTTGCAGGAGCTCCAGAGCCTGCAGGCAGAGCTGCTTTTGGCTTCGCCTTTGTGGCCTTGGGTGGCTTTGCAGAAAGGATGCGGGGCGCAGCTGCTTGACTGGCCGGGGGGGGTCCACTGCTTCCGGTGGGAGTGACTCCAACCACTGTGGGTGGCTTGGCGGGGTTGCCGAGGGGGAGTGTGGCTTTGACATTCGTTGCACCTCCTGGTTTGCCCTTCTCTGGAGGCAGCGGGGGCCCCGACTCGGCTGGCATGCTTTGTGCCTGAGCCTTGGCAGTTTTGGGAGGAGACTTCTTCTTTTTTGCCTTGGTCTTGGGAGGTGGGGGGGGCTGGGACTCGGCAAGGATGGCGGGTGCTGGCGGATCCTTCCTGGTGACTACTTGTTTGGCGAGGGGGATGGACCCAGCAGTGGCCGATGTGGTGCTTGCAGCAGCTTGCACGCCTTTGTCGAGCCCGCCTGCTGAGACTTCCATTGGTGTCACAGTGGGAATTTCACGATGGGGAGTGCCACCTGGCGTGGGGCCCTCCACTTGTCCCCTTGCTGCAGGTCGGCGCGACTCCCGCGCCCTGCGCTGAGCGCCCCGCTTTGCGTCCTTCTGCTCGCGTTTCACGTGCCTTTTCAGCAGGCCCGCCACTCCCTTGATCAAGCCCTCCAAGGCTGCTGCATCAGCTCGTGCAGCAGCCACTGCACAGGGATGAGACGGGGAATGCTGCGGTGCAACAGGCATGAGAGCAGGCATGGCGCGCAGGAGACAGAGGCGGTGAGCTGAGTCCAACCAAACCTGAGGCCCTGACTCCTACCTCGAACCCCCTCCTCGGAATGTGCTTTGCAAAGGGCATACAGCACGTCCAGGCTCTGCCCATGCTCACAGCCGAGGGGTGGAAGTGTACTCGCCTCATTCGCCTGGTGCGTGCACGAGATGAGGGTTGATGCATGGCAGGGAGGCTATCAGCTTCTATGTTATGAGATTGTGATAGGGAAACCAGGAGATGTAGCGCAAAAATGTATAGATTGCCCCGATCATGAGGCCAATCGCATCAACATTCCTTGCTCCTGAACGATCTGCATGTACTTGCCGACAGCATCTCCAACCCCTCAACCCACAGGCACCTTTCTCGCGGGAACATCCCACTGCACAGCGTACAGTCCCCGCCGAGACGACGCCCGGCCCAGCTCCATGCGCCTCAGCCGATCGCCCAGCAGGCGATAGATCTCGGCCGAAACGACCAACGGGCAGCACACCGTTCCTCCCTGCACCTGCTCAGGGGAAAAAAATGGGCGCTGGGAAAGCGGACCGTGCAGCACTGCACCCATCATCTCCAAAGACCCAACCTTTTCTGCGGTGCATAGCGCTGATCCCCACTCGCTGCCCAGCAGTGTGTTCTGCAAATGGCCTTGATTCTTCTTTTCCCACGCTGCTCAGGCAAAGGGGCTGGGCAGCATGCAGCACGGCGACCACCGCTTTCCGGAAGCAGGGCCTGCTCACCTTCGATAACAGCGGTAGCGCCCCGAGGATCACCTGCAGCTCCCCTGGCCTCATTAGGAACATAGCTTCCAGACAGGCATCCGCACCTGCACAGATAATATAGAAACTTGGCTTGGTGGTAGGGGGCGCGATTGGTCGAGTTCTCTGCCCCTGGGGGGCAATGTTCTCAGGTGAAAATTGTCCCACAAAGCCCGGAACATGCCGATGCCTCTGCAGTGCACAGAAGGCACAAGCTCTCAAGCTACTCCAGAATGACAACCATGGCCGGGAATCATGTAACCGAGGCACTGACAGTGACCTGCACTTGCCACCTCCTTGCAGTATATGCTTACTTTTGAACTCTTGCTGCCCCGCCAAAATCACGGCAGCACTCCTGGCCACAGCCGCAATGCGGTTGGCAATCAGAGGGTCCCGCACGCTCCTCCCAGCATTGTCATCACTGCTCTCGGGCAGAGGGTTGGGTTATCTCTCAGACACAGGAGTTGCTGGCAATGGAGTTGGCAGCACACTTTCGTAGTGATGCCACGATCTGACCCGTCATCAGAACTCCTGCAACACAGAGCCGCATGTCGCCCCTTACATGTCGAATGGCTCCTCAACGGAAACCATGTAAGACAGCGTGGTCCAGGGCAGGTAATGGAGCGACCCCTCCCAGGTGGACACTCGCACAGCGCTGTACAAGCTGCGGTGGGGAAGAGTGAACAGGAATTAGTTGTAAAGGGGGGAGGAAGGCGTCCTGCACATTAGGGCCCCACGGTGAGCAGCGATCGGTCAGCAGGCCAGCAGTCTTAACGCCTGAGGACCTCTGCACCTGCCACATGCAGAGCAAACCTACTCTGCCAGGGGGTCTTGCTCGAGGCCGGTAGCCCAGAGCTTCAGGAGCGGAGCCGTCACCTGGAAGAAAGCCAGGAACAGCTCCGATAAGGTCTCTGTATTTTCTGGGACTGCGTCCCTCCACCCCCGCAGGAGGTCCATGGCGCTCAGCAGGTCCGCTGGCGCCAGGGCCGCTTTGTTTACGCGGTCACCCTTCCCGGGGAAAATGGCTTTCAAGGGAGGCAGCAGCGGGACAGGGCGGGTCTGCAGCACAAAGAGGACCTGTGCATGGAAGGAGGCATTGGCTGAGGTCTTACAGGCTTGAGCAGAGGTTACTTGTGCAGAGAGGCTCTCCCTCTGGGATGTATAGGGAGTGCATCGGGGCAAGAGACGAAGTTGTTTGGGCAGGATCTTAGCGGTAGATTCTAGCCGTGCCACCTAGAAAGATCGTGCATAGCGACAATATCTGTGCACAAGCGCCATGCCAGCCCCCTGCTCCCAGTGCTTGACACCTCCCTCTCACCAGCAGAGTCAGGGCGTGGCTGTTCAACGAGCCCGCAGACGCATCATTCAGGCTATGGGCCTTGGCCCACGCCTTCACGAGGCGCACCAGAGCCCCGAACCTCCACTCCATCTGTTGGTGTGGGGTTTGGTGAGTGCTAGCAGTGTGACAGGAGAGCCAGGCTAGCCAAGGGTCCCCTTGCTGTTTCCAACACCCTTGCGTATGCGACATCACCAGACCAGGGCAAAGGCTGATCAGCCACCAACTCACTGTCCAACCACCTAGGACCCTGACCCATCACCTGGCCCAGGAGACCCAGGACGAGGGATTTCAGGATGGTGTGCCTGCTCCCAATGCTGACATCGCACTCCACACCTGAGGTGGCAAGAGGTGATGTGAAGGGAACCCGCTGTTGTGTGACATGCATGTTATCTGACACTCCCAAAGTTCCATGTGGCTGGCACGAATCCTTTATCTAGTACTGCCGTCATGAGCACGGCTCCACACCTGATCGTGCTTCGGTGAATTTTAAGAGGGGGACCCTGATGGACTTGTGTGTCAGCCTCAGCAGAGAGCCCGCCACCATGTTATGGCTCATCAACAGAAAGGCAAATTTCTGCAGCAATTCTCCATATTTCGATCAGAACTGGAGTTTGAATGGAGTTCAAAGCCCTCCATAGGCACAGCCAGTCTGAGGGCAGACAAGCTGCGTCCTCATTGCCTTCAATGCACGACCCCACAGGCCACTCTGCACGCAGTGCCTGCTCACATCGAGAGTCTTCACGTGTACTGATCGCATGCCAGGATCGAGTCGAGGGTCCAGGTCCAGATCCAGGAGCTCCTCCACATTCCTGCGAGCCCGGAAAGGTGAAGCCACTGATGTCCAGGCCAATATCGCTGGGTTCCATACGCTGCCAGCGCTCGGCACTCTGAGCAAGAATTTTGTGCCGTTGCGGGCCAGCAGGCAGGCGATTGCAGCTCAGGAAAGGTGGAAATACCAACAGCATTCTACTCGCCGGAGTTTTGGACCCAGGATGCAGAGATCGGCATCTCCGGTCATGGAGGAGAGCCCCGAGGCCAAGGATCCAAACGCCTCCAGCCAAAGCTCATCACTGCCGACGGAGATGACTTCCAGCTTCGTGTTCAGCCGCTCATGCATCTGCACGACAGAAGAGCCGAACTGTGCCACGGATACTTGCTTGGCGACGCAGCAGCTTCCACAGCCCGAATCAAGGCTCGGCGAGCAGAAGTCGCGCAACACAATCTCCAACCCACCGAAAGTCTGGCAGACAGGTCGCGCTGGCTGGGCATGAAGTGACTTGCGATACCCGCCAGGCCCGCCTCGACCCTGGCGGCCCACTCTTCAGGCAGACGACTGGGCTGCAGGGAGGCCATGTCCTTGCGCACAAGCGCTGCCAGAAGGTGCTCCTCAGCTCCCAGCAGGCTGCCGCATAGCCTGGCTCCGGGTGCAGGACGCGTCTGGGCCGGGCAAGAGTGGATAGGGATGAATTTGACACAAGGTTTCACTGCCAGAGTGATACTGAAGTGGAGGTGTCCATTGTATCGATCCTGAAGTCTGATTCATTCCAGACCAAAGTACCACTATTGGAGTTCATGCTTGAGAGGGCGCCTCTACATGCCAGCACAAGTGAGGTTCTGCACCTTCCTCACCTTGGTCTCCATCTCAGCAGGCTGCATGGCAGCGTCCATGCACTGAGGGAGGAGGCCCTACCAGGGTTGCCCTCTCCACAGTGCTACCAGCCGCCTTGAAGAGAAAGGGCTCTGATCAGCGCCAAGTCTCCCGGTTGTATCCAAGGCAACTACAAGGCAGCAATTTTAGGTCGAGCACTGGTGCACCCTCTCCTCACTTAGACCGAGAACCACTGAGCTGCCAGGTAGTGCTGTGTGATCGGCATTTTCGATCGCCGCACGATCCTGCATATACTTACAGCGATCGAGATCAGGCACTGGGGTCCGTTCACATCGAATCAATGACGCACAGTCCTGTCGTATCTACCGGCAGCATTGCGCGCCCACGAGATCCGAGCGCGCGCATGAAGTGACAGGGTCTCTACAGACACAGTCACCCAATCAGGGCAGGTATACTATATCCCGCATGACCCACTCTCATTCGAGCAGATCGATCGGGGCATCGAGCCGCTCTGGATCGACCTGGGGCCGGGCTGAGGAGGAGGGATGTCGGGCCTGGAGCAGGCCCTGGGGAGGCTCCGAGATCAGCCTCCCGTGCTGCAGCCCCTGGGAGTGCATGCGGTCTTTGATTTGATCAGCGCAGCTTCCAGCCCATCCCCTGCTGCCATCACCGTATGCCTGGGGGTGTCCAGCCCGGTGAGGTGCTTTTAATGCCGGATGCTTGCGGATCTGATGGGTGCCCCTCATGCATGATGCCATAGGCCATGCAGCCTGTGACCAGTGCAACAACCTCTTCCCACTCCAATGCTGCCACTCACGTGACCCAAATCGACCCCTGGATCCGCCAGGATGCAGCTGCGGTGGCGGTGCAGCGCCTCGTCCAGCTGGCGACAGCTGGGCGGGTGAGCCGGGGCGCGGCACAGGACCTGCTGCTGGCCGCGGCGAGCGGCGCCCCGGTTCCCCACCTCCCCGCCCTCCTCAACGGTCTGGTGGGCCTGATCGTGGCGCATCCCCCCCCGGGCCCCGTCGCCTGGCCGCGGCACCCGCTGTGCAGGGCCCTGCACGTCGGGCCCAGCGCGGCGGACGCAGCGGTCCAGGCGGCCGTGCGCGCGCTGTGGGGCGGCAGGGGCGGCGCGACGCTGCAGCGCACGCTGCGCGCGCTGCGCCCCGTGCTGTGGTGCGCCACCTGCGACCCGGGGCTGGGGCCAGGGCCCCGGGCATCCGCGGCGGCCTCGCTGGCACGCCTGGCGGCCGGGCTGGCCGCGGAGCCGCGGGCGGGGGACCTGGAGGCCGCGGCCAGCCTGGTCAGTATGCTGTGCCGCGCACTGAGCATGTGGGACCCTCATGACGCGCTCTCCCTGGCGCCTGTCGTCGGCCCCACCCTGGATGCCTGGCAGGCACTGCGCTTCGAACTGCAGGGTGGGCGAGTGGGTGTGGTGGTGGTCGGGGAAGAAAGGGTGGACAGAAGCGCGCTCCAGGGGCAAGCGCTGCCTCGGCGCATGTGCTGGGCATGTTTCTGGGTGTGTGTGTCCTCAGCCAGGATACTCTGGCAACCCCACAGCAGCATGGGGCCCTGAAGCCGCAGCCGTTTGCCGACTCGCAGCTCCATACACGAAACCCCTTCAACATTCCGGTTGCTCGCCATAAACACGCAGGGATCGCCGCCGAGGACCTAGACCGCCAGCTCGGAAACGCCCTGCTGTCCCTGGCCCTGGCCGCCGGCGGCCGCCCCGCCACGCTGCGCCAGCTCAGCGCGGCGCTGCACGTTGTGGGCTGGGGGGCCGGCGCCCCGGCCTCGCAGGCCCTGGCCCTGGCCTTCCTGGCGGGCACAGCGGGCACAGCATGCGCGCCGGGCCTGCTGGCCCTGCTGGGCAGGTTCCTGGGGGATGACCAGGAGGCAGCAGCCCGCCCCGACCGCGCCGCTGCACTGTTGATCGCCTTCCCTCTTGTGCACCTGGCCTCCCTGGCCGCAGACGCCGGGGCCAGGGCCTGGGCCGCAGGCGTGCTGAAGCGTGTCGCTGGGTTACAATGCCCCCTTCTGCCGGTTACAGAGTCCCTGAATCCAAATGCTCACCCAAAGGCCCAGCCCGCCTGTCGGTCAATCCCTGCACCGAGACCCTGGGCGCGATATGCGGTGGCGCTGGAGGCGCTGCGTGCGCTGTGGCGGGGCTCCCGTGAGGCCACCCGCGGCTGGCTGGTCGCGCTGCGGACCCATGCTGGAGCCTGCGGCCAGTCTCCGTCTTCACTCCCGGTGGGCATGCTGTGCGCGCTGCTGCGCCACCTGGACGTGGAGACCTGCGAGGAGGCCCTGCGCACTCTCGCTGCGCTGGCAGGGCCTGGAGCGGGCGGCACGGCCGTCGTTCTGCTGGCCCAACTCCTGCGGGCGCTGAGGGAGGAAACCAGGGCCGGCCCGGCCATGGCCATGCTCCGCCAGCTGCCGGCTTTGGGCAAGCATACGGAGGCGCTGCCATTTGTCCTGCTGTCCCTGCAGCGCCTATTCCACCCAGGTGGGTGGCGGGCTGGGGGTTGTCGGAGGTGTTTTGGGGGGTTGAGCGATGGCTGGCAGAGACGATACCATTCATATTTCATGATGATGTTAACCAGCGGACCAGGCGTACCTGCAGACCTGACACACCCGGCGTACCCAGGCTGCCAGTCTGTGCGTGCCCTCCTCCCGCAGGGAGTGATCCACGACTCAGGGAGCTGGGCTTTGAGCTGATGGAAGCTGCCTGGAAGGCAAACCGCAGGGCGTACCCTGCGCTGCAGACCTGCCTGCTCGGTGAGTGTGGGTGGTTCAACAGATGGCAGTGATGGAGACTGGCTGGCAGAGGTGTTTCAAGCTGCACAGCGCCTGTTGGCGTGCGTGATGCAGAGAGCGCATGCCCTTCCTCATCGTAGGATGAACCTGAACACCGGTGTTGCTGTCGTACCCCCCCCACCAGGCGCGACGCGTGCCTCAGCATCAGGCAATCCAGGGCCGCAGCCATCTGTGGCGCAGCTGCGGGCCGTGTGCTCCATCTGCGCCCAGGACCCTAACAAGGGCGTGGAGTTTCTAGGATCGATCCAGGCGGGGCTGTCGAGCACTGGCGCTGATGCCCTGCAGGCGCTGGCGCTGCGCTGCGTGCGCCAGCTGTGCGCCGCCGACGTGCTGGAGTTTTACAGCGCCTGGCGAGCCGTGGTCGTATTCCTGCCGACTCTGCCAACCGCCGATGGCACCGCAGCGGAGTGGGTGGGTGGTGATGGGGCATGGGGTTTGACGGGGAGTGTTGCAGTTAATGGTGTTGCGGTGATTTCTAGGATACAGGTGAAGCCCTGCTTCAGTGAGCATCGTTCTCAAGGCTCGAGCCCGACTCATGCATGTGCCATCTTTGCCGCCGCTGCACAGTTGGACCTCATGGCGCACGGAGCCTTGGACGCTGCGGCCGAGCCGGAGGTCGTGGGCGGCATCCTGGATGCCCTGTGGCTGGCCACGCAGCACCGATCCGCCGCGGTGAGGGGAGAACGGCCGAGCATTGGTGTGGTGCAAGCTCATGCAGATGTATTCTCCATGTTCAAGCCCGGGGCGTGCGCCAGAGGATGCCTCACGTCACCTCACCCGACTCCCTGTTGCTTGTCAGGTGCGGCTGGCGGCGTTCCTATCCCTGGCGGCCTACGACTACTCCCTGCTGGAGGAAAGCGAGGAGGCCCCTGACGTCCCGGACCTGCTGGCATTGTTAGTGTGCGAGGAGGACGAGGCGTGCCTGGACGCCGCTGGGAAGCTACTGGGCGCCGCCCTGGTGTTCAATTACAGGTTGCATGGTTGGGAGGATGGAAGCCGGGATGGGTCTGCCAGGTGCATGCATCGGTGGACTTGCCGCGGGGGATGGGTGACCGCTCGATGTTGCCAGCGAGCAGACTGGAGTGCAGGGCCCCAACTGAACGGCTCCATGCTCTCCCTAAACCCTGACCCCTGCCCGCCACTGGTCGGCAGCCGGCTGCAAGGCACGGGCAAGGCATCCGTGGGCGCCCAGGACGCCAGTCCGCTGGAAGACTCGCTGATCGCCATGTCTAAATCCATGCTGGACGGCGGGTCCCAGGCAGCGCCGGCCCTGCTGCGACGCCTGCCTTCCCTATCGCCGGTGCGGTGCGGGGCAAGTGTCTGCGTGGTGTCGGGACGGCGCTGCCTGGGGTAGTGGTCCCGCCGGTGCCTGGGATCTGGTGGATGCACCGGGTCCTCAAGCAATGCACTGTCAGGGACATTTCTTCGGAGCCCCATCTGCCCCGCTGCATGCATCCCTAGTCAGGCGGAGCAGAGCGGCACTGAAGGACCGTGACTTCAAGAGCAGAATCGTGTCAACATGCTCGCCATCGTTGCCAGCAGGCCCGTCGCCGTCTCACCCCTCCGCTCACCCTCCACCCGCCCCAGGTGGCAGTACTGGCGTTCTGGGCGCCGCCGCTGCCCCAGGGAGCGACCGGCCCGAGCACGGCGGCGGCGGCCGCGGCGCCCGACGCCTACGCCGCCGTCCTGACGGAGCTGGTGAGCATGGGCGACATGGTCCCGGGTCTGCGCGTGCCCGGGGCCGAGGCCGCCGAGCTCGGGGCGTGTGAGCGCGCGTGCCGCGCCTTCTTCTCGCGCTGGGCGGCCGCGGGGCGCGCCTCCGGCGTCCCTGCCCCCGCCGCCCGACACTTTGAGGGCCTGGAGGTGCGGGCCGGCGACGCGGCGGCCGCGCCGGCCGAACGCGCCGCAGCCTGCTGGTGCCTCGGCGTGCTGGCCGGCATGCACCCCCAGCTGCTGAGCCGGCGCGGGCAGGAGGCCCTGGGTCAGATGGCCAGGTGTGTTGAACGTCCACCGGCCGTCCGACGGGCGGCCACCCTGGGCCTGGCGGCGCTGCTGGCCCGCGTGCCGGGGGAGGGTGCGGCGCGCGAGGGGGAGCGCCTGCTGGCCTCGGTATGTAGTGGCGAGGATGGCGGGACGCCATCGCAGACCAAGGCTCTGCGCCGTGCGGTGGGCGGGGCCCTGCATGCGTCCGAGTCCGTGGCAGCTGCACCATATAGGCCCCCCGCGGAGGCTTGGCGCCCCCTCGGCGACGCTCCGCCGCCGCCGGCAGAGCCAGAGACCGCGGCCCTGACGCTGGCCGGCGCGGGTCCCGGCGCCGCGCGGCCGACGGCTGCGCGGAAGCTGGTCGAGGCGCTGGCCAGCGCAGCGCTGGGCTCGCGCGGCGCCGCGCGGCAGGGCGCCGCCCGCGGCCTGTGCGTGCTGCTGGAGGGCGGGACCTTGGAGCCTGAGCTGGAAAGTGCAGCCCTGGAAGCCCTGGAGAAGCTGGTCATCGCGGCGCGCTCTGACCGGGACGCCCGGGAGGCCTGCTGGCCGGTCGTGGCCCTGTGCCTCGACACCATGTGAGGATGAAATGGAATGGGGGGGGGGAGGAGGGGGGGGGGCTGTGCATCATGGCAATGCGGTGTCCCTTGTAGAGCTGTGGCTGCTCTGCATCTGGGACCTTTGGTGATCGACCAGGGCGCCGGAGAGAGTAGCTGAAAAGGTCTGATGCTTGGCCGATCTCAGCTGTGCGGCCTACACTTTCCTCCCCCCCATCTTCACAAACCTACACGCGCCCTCCCCGCCGCACGCACAGCGCCATGCTTAAGAAACGGCAGCGCCGTGCCGTCTCCAGCACCCCCTCGCTCGTCAACTCCATGCTGGGCATGCTGCGCGCGGACCCGGGCCTGCGCCCCGGTCCCGCCGCCGCCATGCTCCGCGCGCTGAGCTGCCTTAAGCGGCTGCCGCCGGGGTCGCAGCTGGGCGGCATCCTCCGACGTGCACTGGGGAGATCCGCCAGCGGCGACTCGACAAAGCCGGCCCCTGGCAAGGCTGTGGGCGAGGAATGCATGGTGCACCCCAACAACCCCCTCGTCCTATGGTCCAGCGCCGTGGAACTCTTAGCCGAGCACCCGCGCTGGGCGCCGGACGCGGCGCTGCTCCTGCTGGACGGCCTGCGCGACGACGGCGAGGCAGAGGAGGCCGATTCGAGATCTGCTTCGCGCATGGGCCGCCAAGAGACCCTGGCAGAGCCTGCCCAAGGACCGGCCCTGGGCCCCATGCCCCGGGGTGCCCGCGTCGCAGCGCTGCAGGCGCTCCCCGGTTTCCTCTCGGTCGCCCCGGAGCCCACAGGGTCACTCCGTGGCGTGTGTGCCGCGGTGCTGTGTAGAGAGCAGGACTCCCCATCCCGCCTGGCAGAGCTCCATGCCCTGCTGACATCCCTGCGCCGGCTCCAGAGCGGGCAGGCAGAGACCAGCTCGAGCGCGCCGGGCGTGCTTCCCAGAGCCGCTGCCGAGTGCGTGCTGCGCTCCGTCCTCGACCAGACTCCCCCGACGCTGCCCTTCCTCTCGCTGTCTGACGGAGCTTCCATTGGGGGACCAGTGCCTGATGGAGCCGAGGCCGAGGGAAAGGCCCTATCGCAGGCCGCACCGGGGTGCTTCCCCTCAGGTGCCATCGCGCGGTGCTGGGACAGCATCATGGCCTGCCTCGCCCTCATTGATCCTGCCGAGGTATGACGGTGGATTTTTGAGGACATGGCGGTTTGAGGGGACATGCCTCTGTCCCAAACCATTTCCCCTCATGAAGGCGCAAACTGAGATCCAGCCACCGCCCGGCGCTCACGGCGCGATCCTGAACGCCACGACACCCCACCGACCCACCCGTTGATGCTGCGCAGGTGGAGGGTGCGCTGGCGCAGCGGCTGCATGGCCGGCCCGATGCGGGGGCCGAGTTTGCGCTGGCGAGCGCCGTGGCACGCGGCATCCTGCCTGGAGATGCGCTGCAGCTGGGCCTGAACGCCGTCCTGTTCGACCCTGGCGCGGCGACCCCCGGCGGCGAGGCAAGCCAAGGTCGGGGCGGAGGCTCCCTGCACCGGAGGTGTGGCTGGGTAGCGCAGGCGGCGGCCCGGCTCGGCCCGGGGCAGCAGCGACACTGGGTGACTACCACATGCCGCATGGCCCAGGTGAGGAGGGGAGGAGACTGCTGTCCTCACACCTGCTAGGAACATGGGAGGCTCATTTGTGTATTCAAATCTGCGCTGTGTGGCGCCTGTCACAGCCCAACTAAACCCTTGTCCTCCCAAGCAGGGGGCGACCTCCCGGAGGGCAGCACAATGCCTGGTCTCCTGGCTGGGATTGGCCGTGGCGGGTGACACCTGGCTCTGCGCCTTCCCCGACGGCAGCAGCATGGAGGAGGGTGTCCTGGCTCTCCTGCCCCAGGCCCTGGGCGACCTGGTCTTGGACAAGGACTGGGCCCCTTGTGTGACCGAAGCGCTGGTGGGGCCCCTGCGCACCTTATTCCCCACTCAGGACTACCTGCAGTGCCTCTTTGCCGCGAGGCGTGTGCTGCCCGGGTCCATGTGGGAGGAGCTCCTCTCTGGCTGGGACGGTGAGCTAGCAGTGGCCGTTGAATAATGCCAGTGCCTTGTGAATGCATCACAGCAGGCGCAGCAGGAGGGAGCCGGTGCACAAACCCCGAAGGCGCAGCTCCGATACAAATGCGGTCCAGGCATGCGCGATCCGTGCAGCGTGTCGTTGCAGAGCGATGCCATGAGTGAAGGCACTCGATGAGGCATCGCGTGGCGCTCTCCTCGGGGTGACGCGGTAGGAATGGAGTGTGCCGAGGTCACTCCGGGCGGGGCGCTCCAGGAACTGCAACGCCTTGTTCGCGACGCGGAGGCCTACAGCTGGGCATCCCAGCTCCCAGATGTTTCGGATACAGTAGACCAGAGGGCCATCAAGAAGGCCCGTCTCCTGGAGCGGCTTCAGGTTGGCCGTGCTTGAAGTGTAGTGTTCCGGTGGGAACTGGGATGAGATTTGAGGGTCGCATGGGCAGCGGCCTCCACACCAGTCCGCTCACTCCTGCAGGAGCTGCACTCCGAGGAGAAGGCCCTGCGACGTCAGAGCGTGGTGCCACCCACACCTGCCCGCTCCAGCCGCACGGCACAGGACCCCTCCACCCTCCAGTCTGAGGTATGGGTGCAGGGGATGCCTGTCCCGATGGTTGAGCTGTGCAATCTTCCAGCACACAAAGGCTTCACTGAAACTAAGAAAACTTTATGCCCAGAATTTTAATCATAACGCATGCCGGTTTCCCTCCTTTGCATGCGCAGGAGGCGGTTCCGCACCCAATGGCAGTCCAGCCTTTGGCATGGCCCACCCCCACCGCCCTCTGGCCCCCGCGCTCCATGCACAGCTTCTCAGCGGGCGACGATGACAGCATCTCGTGCACGCAGGCGGTGGACTGCGTGCCCTCCACCCCCGCAGACGCGGGGCCGGCGCTCACGCCAGGCGGCGCGGCCACCCCTCTCGCAGCATCGCTGGGTCCGGCATCCGTGCCCGAGTCTGTGCCCCGAGCCACACATGGGCTACTCCACCCCGAGGACCCCAGGAGCCCGCCTCGCGGCCGAGCGGAGCACGCACCCGGCCCCAGCCCCAGCCTTGCTGGCGCACCCGCGCCTCCCATCCAGCTGCGCCTTCCATTCCCGGTCCTGTTTGCCACGCTGGGGCCGGGGCCGGGCCCGCCGGTCGTCGCCCTGGTCCTGGGCAGCCACGCGCCGCCGCACGAGCCCACCCACGCCCTCGTCTTCGACCCGGAGCGGGGCCGCTGCCTGTGGTCCAGCACGCTCACGCGTTGCGAAGGCGGACCGCACCCGGGAGGGCTCAACGCAAGCTCCATGCTCCTCGTCCGCGCGGCGACGCCCGCTGCCAAGCCCTCCGCCGCCGGGTGAGCTGAAGTCGTGCGCGGACGGAGCGATCATGTGGTCCAGGACTCGTGGTCTCGAGTCCTCTGTCGAAAACTTGCCGGACATGCACCTTGTATCAGTGGTGTTCCCACGCTCACACCCAGACTGCCCGGAGAGGTCGCTCAGGACCCCATCCCCACTGCACCCCCTTCCCACCACAGCGGCGCACCTTCTCTGGCCCTGGTCCTTGCTGGGGGGCTGGCCCCCGGCGACCCCTCCCCCGGCCAGCCCACCATCCACGTTGTCAGCCTGGGGGCTGGCGCCGGTCTGGCCCCACTCTCCATAGAGGCCGAGCGCGCTGTGTATGCTGCGCTGGACCTCGGGGGAGGGGATCTCCTCCTCGCAGGTGCTCGAGGGGCTCCGGGTCTGGGCGGGGAGCGGGTGGAGGGTCTCCGGGGCGCGGCAGATGCTCGTCGGCGGATCCCGGCCCTGCTTGTTCGAGAACGAGGAGTGAGCAGGCCGCCTGCCCATCGGTGCATCCTGCGAGGCCCAGCTCTTCGCCCCATTCACATCGCCCCAACCACCCTCCCACCGCCCTCCAACTCAGGTGACGGCCCTGACCTGACCAGGGTGCGTCTGGACTCGCTCTGGAGGTCCTACACCTGGGGCCCGGCGCCGCCAGCCGCCACAGTCGCCGCCCGCGACCTGCCCGACATCGTGTCTCTGGCCTGGGCCGGCACGGCGCAGGGCCCCGGCCCTGCCCGGCGCCCGCTGGTGGGCCTGAGCAGCTGCGGAGGAGCCGCCGTGTGGACCCCGGGCCTGGACCAGGTCCTCGCCCTGGTCTGGCCGCCCGACGGCCTGCATTCCCTGCGACTGTCTTCTTCCCTGGGCATCCTGCCGGCGGCGGGGGGCAGCGGCGGCTGCACCCTGGCCTGCGCCGGGGTGCAGGAGCCTGGAGGACGTCTGGGCCTGACCGCCGCGCAGCTTGGACAAAGGGAACTCGGCGCGGCGGCAGTCTCCGCAGAGTGGGGCCTGCCCGCCACCTGGACCCAGCTGCCCGGCCAACAGGTGGGTGGTTGGGCGAGGAAAGGGCGGCGCGGCGCGGGGCACACTCAGCCCGAGAGGGTATCAGGGGCAGTGATCGTCCGCGATGCCCGGCGAGACCGCCCCTCATGCCCAGCCCCCTTGAACACTGCAGGCAGTGACCGCGGTCCTGCACGTCGCAGCAGGGCAGGGGCCGGGGGAAACGGGAATGGGGGCGGCGACGCACAGCGCCATGGAGCAGAGCCTTTTCGGCTGGCTGGTGGTGGGACTGGCGGGCGGCGACCTCATGGCCTGGCACCTGCCCTCCGGCGCGGCGGCCGGCGGCCTGCGCGGCGTCAGCGCCGCGCCCGTCACCTGCCTGCAGGCCTGTCTTGTCGACCAGGCAGACGCAGGCTCGCTGGGGGTTTCTATCGTCGCGGGGTGGGCGTGCGGTACCGCGCTTGTAGTCCCTGGCGCGGTGCTGGGCCTAGGGCCAGATGCGGCCATGTAAAAGTCAAAGGACTCGACTCTTCCGGCTCACAGCAGGCATTGAGGGGGGAGGCGGCGCGCTGCACAGCGGCTGGGAGGCCTCCGGCCCCCGGGCAGCCGTGGCCGTCCCTGGTTGGCCTGCAGAACCAATGGGCAATTGGAAAAAAGGGGGTGCAAAAACAGTTCGTCACGGGGACTTCCCACGTGGTCACCCACCGCAGCAGGGTTCTCGAAATTGCGGGTTTCGAGGAAAACGGCGCGAAATTTTCGGGAAAATAACATTTTCGAAATTCGACTCCGAAATTTCGTGCTGACATGGCAGGTGCCCATGGGGCTGGGCCCGCCCAGCGCAGAGTGAGGATGATTTGGGCGGGCTAAGTCAGTGTGTACACAAGCACTCAAGTAATTTAAATCCAACCCCAAAGATTGGCAAGCATCGCGCAACTACCATGAAGACATTTCAGAAGCTTGCCGCCGAGGCATTCGAACCCGTGAATGATGAGGATTGCAGTAGCGGCAACAAAGTAAAGTGCCGTTACTGCAGGCGAGAAATTGCCAAAAATATTGCGAGGCAAAAGCAACACTTCTTGGGTGGAGCGAACGTTAAGACTTGCAGCAAGATTCCGGAAGCGCTCTTGGTGGCAGTCCAGCGTGTCAAGCAGCTCAACACTCCATGCAAGCGCAGCCACACATCCATGCCCTCGAGCAGTTCAGTGGCCGACAGTTCAGAACCTCATAGGAACCCTGATCGGCAGACCAGAATTACAGACGTCATGGGTAGCCGAAGTGCAGCACAGGCCAGACGGTCAATCGCACAGTTTTTCTATCGTCAGGGTGTGCCCTTCTTCAAGGTAACGTGCCAATCTGAGCCCATGGCGAGGGATGCAAACAATTGAAGTCCACATTGACAACATCCACCTTTCTGTCTGCAGGTGGAGACCCCTGAGTTTGTCCAGATGGTCAATCATCTTGTTTGCACTGGGGGCCCCTTCAAGATTCCCAAGCAGGCAGATCTGCGTGAAGAGATGCTGGCTGACAAGGTCCAGTTGATGAATGACAGCCTGATCCCCACCCTTACCACTGAGAAAGAAGAGGTAAAGTGCCATCCATGCGGACTTGATGACTACATTTCTACTCGGGAGTCTTTCACAGGTATGTTTCCCTCCTTACAAACTTGCACAGTAAAAACTGTGCAGGGCATCGCCCTTGTGGTGGATGGTTGGCAGGACCAAGCCAAGAAGCCCTTATTGAACTTCCTGGCTTTTACAAGCAAGGGAGGGCGCTTCATCAAGAGCGTGGACACCGCTGGCAAATGCAAAACTGCAGATTACCTTGTGGAGCAATTGGAAGCTGTCATCAAGGAGATTGGGGTCGAGAATGTGCAACTTGTCATCACAGACAATGCTGCTAACTGCAAGAGAGCCGGGGAAATTATTCATGAACGGTATGTGGGTACTCAGAAGTCTGCCCTAATATTGCTGTGCACACTGATGTAGTCAGCCTTTACATTCAACCAACCCCATCCTTTACACTCACCATTCTTGCAGATATCCCACCATCTGGTGGGTGTCATGTGCAGCGCACACCGTGGACCTCTTCCTGAAAGATTTGGGCAAGATGAAATGGGTGACGGAGATTCTGGATCCATGCCACCAGATCTGCAAGTTCATGACCAACCATGCAACAGCTGTGCACATTTTAAGAGAGCATTCTGACCAGGGAATTCTTGTACCTGGTGAGTGTGGTGTAGCATGAGGTGTGACATCACCTGGACAAGAAGCATGCCTAACTTTGATGTTTCATTTTTGTATCTGTAGGTGAAACTCGGTTTGGTTCAAAGTTCCTGATGCTGGACAGGTATCTGGATGTGAATGGGAAGCTGAGGAGAATGGTAGGCTCGGATGCATGGCATCAGTGGCTTACAGAATTACCTCCAGCCAAGAGACGTGAAGCTGGAGACCATGCATCAAAAATCTGTGACATCTCATGGAACGACAAAGCTCAGGCCCTGTTGGACCTTGCCAGGTGATGTGCAGTTGTCTGGGTTCAGCTAGATGTCCTTGGCTTGCAAAAACTTCTAATCTGCTGACAGCTTCACGTATCACCTGCCCATTGCCCTAGGCGCCTCGTGATGCTACTGCGGCAGGTGGATGCAAGTTCGGCCTTTCTGGGAGATCTAGTCGGTCAATTGCAGGCAGTGGAGGCGTTGCTGATCTCATCAGAGCTCATACCTTCGACTGAATAGTTGGCGGTCATGGCATCCTTCAATCGTCGGAGGAGGAGGATGATAGGAGATTTGCACATGGCGGCACACAGACTCCACCCTCTGCACCTCTTGAAGCTGCACTCAGGCGAGGTTCATGACGGCCTGAACAAGGTTTTCAAGAAGTTCTTCCCAAACCCTTCTGACTGTTTCCAAGTGCATTCCGAGCTGGTAAGTTCCCAGGAAACTTTGGCATCTTCATGTCTTCTCTACCGCCAGGGGATGAGTGCCCACCATTGGTGGAAAACGTATGGCAGCCGCCATCCCCATTTATTCCGTGTTGCATATCGCTTGTTGAGCAAACCATCTTCCTCCTCTGCATGTGAATGCAATTGGAGTCAGTACCAATATGTTCACAGCAAGTTGCGGAATCGGCTCTCCACCGAACGTGCAATGGATCTGGTATACATCTATGCCAACTCCCGTTTTCTGCGTGCCTTGGACAAAACTTGCCCCTTGAGTGAGCTCTTTCACGATGAGTATCTCCTGGACGATGGCATGCTCTCTGAGGCAG